GAAAACTGCACTATGTGAAAATATTGGGAGCTTTTCAGAGACACAAAGTGAGCAAAGACAAACAAACAGTCTTTTGATAACACCAAAGTTGCAGCAGAGAGGCAGGGAATGAGCTGTAACCCATGTCCCCGGGGATGCGATGAGATGGTATGGGCTTTAATTACAGCCAGGGAGATTTGGGCTGCCCATCAGGGAAAACACACTGATGGAAAAGACAGGGAAGAGCAGGAACGGATTGCCTGAGGAGAGCAGAGGCTCTCTCTTCAGAGGCCTTTAAGAAAGTGGTAGGGAGGCATCTGTCAGGAAGGCTTTAGACAGAGCTGATCCTGCCCCGAGGCAGGAGCTGGTTGGGTTGACCTCTTGAGGCCCCTTCCAGCTCCGGTTTTTGTTATCTCTACTGACAACACCCCCTTACTTTGACCCTTGGTATGCTGTATCTTGAGCCTTCTTTCTGGCAGAGAAAGGAGACACAGAAGACTGCATTTTTAAAAGTAAAGTCAGAATTTGCACCCGTCATTTGATGCTCTCTTTTAAAGCCCTTGGAGTCACCCCAATGTTTCTGTTTAAAACTGACAACAATTTACAATGTTAGGGTGCCTGCAGCTTACAATCTTCATTGTACTAAAATAGTCCAATTTGTCTTTCTTTCTGAAGTCAGCTGCAAAGTGGACAACAGACATCACAAGAACCGCACTGGAAGAGACCATCTATTGACTGCAGAGTCCTGGAACCATAGGCTGGCAAGTGATGTCGGTTAGATCCCAAATGGAGAGAGATTATTCACTCTGCATACTCCAAACATACTCCCACAGGATTTTCTATTAAGCTTAAGACCTCAAATGTAAAGGCTTATGCCATGCAGATCAGAGTTGCTTCAGGAAAAAAGAAAGATGAGATCACGGACCCAGGAGTTGGGTACCAACAGCTGGGTCAAGTAGTGCTTGTACCCAGGTTAACAGGCTGAATCCCACTGATCAGGCACCTTTAAACCTCTTTTAGTCCCAAACCTGGCAATCCTGTTTTGGATGGTCTTCATTGGAAGATTCTCAAGGTGTTAAGAATATTTGCAATGTCTCCATTGACTTTCAGCATTCTTTGAGGGGCTATTTTTAATGCATAATAAGCAGCCAAGAGGAGACCAAGTCCCTGCAGGAATGAGAAAAAAAGCACTAGTTTCTCTCCTTGCAGCACTGTAGGTATTTTGGGCAGCAGTGTGCAATGGAAAAACTCTTTGGCTTCAGCTTTTTGTACTCTTCCCCCTTTTCAGTCTCCTACATCCCTGCCTCCATGCCAGGCTTCTGTATTTGTATTGATTGTGATGCAGGCAATTAAATGGTGTTAATGAAGTTCAAACAAGTGTTATCATAAGCTTGGCAGCATGGAGAGAAATGAAAGGTCAGCCACAGCCCTTTGTCATCTTTTCCGTGTGGTGTTGAATGCTAATGAGACAGTCCCAATTAGAACAGGCTCCCCTTTGTATTGCTTGGGGATTGCATCAAATGCTCCCAACTTCTCCAGATTTCTAGGCTCAAAGGGGACATTTGAAGTAAACTTGAAAAGATGCAGATCTGAAGCTGCTCTCATGTAAATTCAGCAAAGCCTATGGAGTTTTACTAACAGATGAGAACTGGTCTACCGTTCCCATTCTTTTCCTCTTTTTTTTTTCAATAGACTCAGATAATAATAATTGAAAAGCCTCCACCTTGTTTTAGAACTACAGTCTGAGTCTTCATGGTTTCAACAAAAGCCAAATAGTCTGTCCCCATTTCCTCAGTTAATTCTCCTGCCTCAGTCAGGTGTCATCTTCTGCCACAAGAAATCCAAGTTGTGGCTGCCTGTAGATACCTTTTACCCATGAGTTTTCAGAATGAAAGAGCCCTGGGTGTGTAATTTGAATGTCGAACCTGGTTTTCTCCAAAAGTCAGGCTTTCTCAGCGGGATTGTTTCAGCAGGCAGGGTCCACGTCTGTTTCCAACAGCGCTAAAAAAGGATGGTTGAAATCAAACTCCCAGTTTACTACCATGTGGAGGTAGACCACTGATCATTCCCAACATACATTCACACTCTAAAGAGGTGGAAAACTAATCTTTGAAGGGTTGGAGGTATGTACTTTTACCCACGCCTGCTTCTTGTGCCAAGGTCATTCCCTGCTCGGAGTTTTGTGAGTCCTAAAGGCACACTACACGCTGAAAAACCAGGAGTTGCAAAGGGAAGGCTGCCATTGCCAGATCAGCTGCCATTTCAACAGACCTGTTCAAAGAGAGGAGCCTGTCTTTACTCCAGAGTGCCTTCAAGTAGACTTGCAATCTACCACTGCCTAATTGCTTTCTTAGAGATTCTTCTTCATCAAAGAAGTTCATTTGATTTCAGGTTCTTCTGATTTACTCAACTGCTTCTTAAACTCCCCGACTGAATATCTTTTTATCTTATGATTCGCTCTTTGAAGAAGTCTAGTGGTCTTGAAGGATGCTGTCTCCAGCTGATGCTGACTAAAGAAATATCTCCAACTGGTACTGGAAGCCATTGGAGTGGGAATAACTCCCTCAAAGTACAGTTGCAGAATGGAGAAAAAGAATTCATTATTTCAGAGTAGAATTGAAATTATATTCTATTCATCCTTGGTATGTTTTTTTCTTTGATCTACCAGAGCATCCAGGTGCCGCTGCCTTGAGTCAGTGGAATTGACACACAAAAATATTAACAGGGCAGAAGCTCCAACCATATTCCAAAACCTGCAGCCTCCCCTTAGGCTTCAGTTCAAGTTGTCAGACATCAGTGCAGATAACAACCCAGCTCATGCTGGGCAGAAAAATCCAGTGCTGTTTGCTAGCAGCAGGAGGTGTTGTGTACCTCGTTTATAAAACCAGTTGTTCAGGAAAACTTCCAGGGAAATGCAGAACCTATTGCTGAAGATCTTTGGGCAAAAGGATTTAGCTCCAAAAAGTTGTAAAGTGAAGACAATAGTAGGAAAAAAAACCCAAAAAAACCCAAAACAAAACCAACCTGAAAGCTGCAGCCTTCTGTTTATCCAGAAAAAAAAAAAAATGTTGCAGGAAGAAATAGCCCATTCTCCACCTACATAACTCAGTTTATCACTCAAATGTACCATCTCCAAAGATAAAAAATCAACCAGGTCATATGTAAAACAGTATTTGTCCACAGAAACCAACCGCCCACTTCACACGAGGTTGTTTAAGCATCAATAGAATATGGGACCTTTGGGTCACTGTTGCCACAAACTTCATTTCTAAATGAATCTCAGCCACCTCTTTCCCCCTATCCAGGTCAATCCAACAATCAACCTCAATACAAACTAAGAAATTTGGACACAGTACCAGAAGTAGGTCATAATTAAGCAAGGTAGCTTGTAAGAGCTTTACAGGTTGCCTAGAAACGACATTCGCAGAAGTGTTTAACCATATCTAAAAATAATTGTCCAGACAAATCGAGACCAATGGGAGAATTACTGTAAAAAATGTCACCTCGTGCTGACTAGGGGACAGAGCTCTTTGATCAACCGTGCTCTGCTTTCACAAAATGAGAGAAAACTGTCCCCACCAAAGGAAGGCAGTGGTTTACAGCTCACTGTGCCTACTAGCAGAGGTCTCATATAACCAGCATGACACGGTATCAATTTTAGACAGTGCCTATGAAGCTATCCAGACAAATCATTGCTTAAAACTGGATGGCATCGCACGAGAATCATCTGTAAGATAAACCCATCTTTGTATTTACAGAGTAGTAATCATTCTCCATCTGTGCAGTTCCCAAACCTGTCAATAACACCAAGCAAGCATAGAATATTGGAAAAACAAAGCACACATCAACTTCTGCAAGGCTTGCTCCAGCAGACAGGCTTGCTGAATGGAGCGCGAGGTCTGCTACTTGCTTGTCCTGCAGAAAGTCTTAGAGAAATGGAAGCCCCTAGGTACTGCAGGAATAGTTGTCTTGGTTGTATTCCCTGCAGAGTAGAATCATAGAATCATTAAGGCTGGAAAAGACCTCAAGTATCATGAAGTCCAACCATCAACCCACACCACCTAACTCACTAAACCATGCCCCTAAGCACCACATCTAGTGGAGGTAAACCATGTCCCTAAGCACCACATCTAGTGGAGCAGGTTTGCCAGACACTGACCTTCAGTACAGTACAACTACAGGTCTTGCAGACGTGGATAAAACACTTGGAAAGTTCTCTGGCTTTTCAGAAAATACCTGTAGAGCTTCAGTCACTAGCCTGATCTTATGGTATCTCATTCAAAGCACAGAAGAGCCTCCAAGGAATGCTACTGGACTCAGAATAAGGGGAGAAAATTGTACACATTCAAAGCACAGAAGAGCCTCCAAGGAACGCTACTTGACTCAGAATAAGGGGAGAAAATTGTACGACCCTTGTACGATCTTGGACAATCGTTGGGATTGTCACAACAATGCTGAGAACAGCAAACCATGATCTTGGACAATCGTTGGGATTGTCACAATGATGCTGAGAACAGCAAACCACTTTTGGTCTGTGTGGAAAGACTTAGAAAGTACTAAGTACTTCACAGGGCTCAAACACATCACCTCCCCTTCCTTCCTCCCTCTATCACTGCTCAACAGTTTCTTCTCAAGAGAAACAACGATGGCAAACACCTTCACTTCACACCTCTGATTAAATTTCCAACTCTGCTGCAAGGCACCTGGGAACAAAAAGCTAACACGGAGCTTTCTACTTGGGCAATAACCAAAGAAAAAAAAGCTACCAAAAGCAATACCGAGGATGCCTCCTACCTCCATCCCATGAAGTGGAGCTTCATTGTATCATTTCATAGAATTATAGAATCACAGAATGGTTTGGGTGGGAAGGGACCTTCAAGACCATCTAGTTCCAACCCCCTGCCATGGGCAGGGACACCTCCCACTAGCCCAGGTTGCTCAAAGCCTCATCCAGCTTGGCCTTGAACCCCTCCAGGTATTCACTTCCTTTTGTTATGCGTATTTCTAGAACTGAAACTCACCTTTCCACCCAGTTCTTGTAGCTGGGGATGTCCTTGGCATAGAGAAGCTTGTTGGAGGGTGAGTCTTTGCCCAGCCGGTGCTCCGAGGTCGAACAGGAGTCCATGAAAGTCTGAGCCACCACAGAGAGGCAGGCATCCGTGATGCTGTTCTTGTGGATGTCAAAGACGAACTGCGGGTTCTTGATCATGTTAACCCAGAACCGTAATGGGAGGCTGTGAGAGGGGTGGGAGAGGTGGAAGAGGTGAGTTAGTCAGTGCACGGTTCACAGGCTTTTTTTGTGTGGGGTTTCAACTGTAAATGGTAGGTGAGAATCAAAGATCATGGTGTGGAGATCGGGATTCTGGGATAAGCTTTGATAGAGTTTTTTCCTACAGGACTCTAGGAATGGCAGTGGAGTCACTTCAGGAGTGGCTTTTGTCCCTGTTATCCTTACAAGCCAGATTTTGTCAATCTTACAGTCAATGCCACCTTATTGAAGTTGCACATAAATTAATGGGAATGTAATTGAGATGATGAAAATGACTCCTATTTTGTCTATGTTAGGTAGCAATGAAAAATTGCCCCTATCAGCTACTCCATTGGATGAGGACAGGCATCACGTCCCCCAAATTTATGGTGAACATCTGTCATTGAGGGACTTGGTTTTTAGCCCTCACAGCAACCCATGGGAAGAGGGGTAGGTAGAGCTCCTAGGTTCAGACTAGGAGTTTGAATGGCAGGTACTGTGGGCTGTGGACACTGGGTACTGTCACACTCCACAGCTCAAGCCCAAGCCTGTGCATGATCCCAGTACATGGGGCATGAAGCAGTCATCACGCGACAGGGAAAACCTGCTGCCCCAAGGAAAAAAAGGAACTGGGGAACAAGTGTTGCAGCCTTTGAAATGAAAATATATCTGCCCTAACCAAGGAAATGTTATTCCAATTACAATCCAAACCCCTTTTTTCTCCCCCTTTTTCTCAGAAGAGCACTTCACTTGTATGAGATGCCCTGAGGTATCTACCTCCAGCCTTTGCCGCAAGCCTTTTTTGTCAGGGCAAATGCATTCCTATGATCATGGCCTAGGAACTGAGATGTGTCACTGATCACAGAGTCAAACTCTTATTTCTCTGTCAGGTAGACTGTTAAGCCTACCTTCGGTGTCTGCACCTTCCCAAGAGGAGGTGATTCTTCAGCTTAACAAATTCACCTGCTGTTCAGTCTAAACTCCCCAGTTCCTTCCATTTGCTTGTTACCCCAATGTGTTCACATAAAAAAAACAATCTCCAAGTTCAATATATTCTGGTTAACAGCAGGCAGTTTAGCATGTCCTGACAGAGGGATGACACCACATTTTCCTAAACTGCTGTGTATTCTCCTGAGCCAGCGAAATCACCGAGCAAATGTAAGGAAAGCCCCGCAGAGGTAATCCTACCAGCCAAGTTCAGGAGAAGTGGTAGATGCTGGCAATGAGACCTGATGGAGCTGTGGGAGGGAAACATTTTAGGCTGGGGATGGAGGTTCATCTTTTGGGGGATGAGGTGGATGAGTGAACCATGCAGAACTTCTTCTGCAAGTGTTAACACAACTGCAGTGAGGATGAGCAGAGAGCCCACGTACATGTGCTTGTGTGTGTGTACGAGGGCAGGAAGGGACTGGGGGGACGATGTTCCTCTCTGGGAATAATGAAGCCCATCATGTGACTTTGAGTTAATTTAATCTGATTGAACAGATTTCTTCATACTGCCCCTTTCCCCACATACACACACACTCAGCCTTCCTCCCTTCCCCCCTTAAATAAACCTCCTGCTCATTTAGTCTGAGTGGCTGCAATCAGCCTCAGATTAGTGCCGCAGATAATGTTAATAATATGCTAATGTTTCATTAGTTGAAAGCCTCTTTGGTACATGGGGTTTCTTTTTTTATGTCACCGCGCTGTGACGATCTGCCATCAGCATGGCTGGTAAAAGGAAAAAAAAAAAAATGCATGAGCTGGGAGCCCCATGGCTCTCCTCTGCTGTTCCTTTTATAGTCCCGGTATTTGTACAGGAGAAAGGGAGGGAGTGATTCTCCAGGGAACTCTTTCCAACAGGGAGACTCAGCGGAGAGGAGCCGCAGAGATCTTTTCTTTCCACCGATCTTGACTTTTTCCTGCTGTCCCACTACATGTATGAAACGGGGCTGCTGCCTGGCAGCTGGAGCAGGGGGCTGATGTCACTTTGTCACTCACTCCAAAGGAGACTCGCATCCAGCTCCAGACCCTTTAAGTGCTAAGTACCATTTGAGGTGCTCTCCTGATCTCCAGCTGCCAGCCCAGGAGGGGACCAGTCTCCTGTGGGTGCTGCACATCCCCTGTGGATGTCTGGGATATCTTAAAATATCTCAGATGGCACTAAATACCTATGTGTGGGCAAAAAAAATGGGGCTATAGCCCCGTCTGACTATAATGAGAATTCAAACACCCTGTCTAAATGAAGGCAAGGGGATGAATCCCATCCCATGCCTCCCCAGACATCCCTATGGACCTGGGCATTACAGCAACTAAACACTTCACAATTTTTCCTCCTGTATCCTCATGAAGTCTCTCAGAAATACTGCCATCCCAGTGTAATACAGGGCAAACTGGGACCTATCAAGCCAAAGCACTCCATGCTTAGAATCCTAGAATCACAGACTGTTTTGGGTTGGAAAGGACCTTAAAGGTCATCCAGTTCCACCCCCTGCCATGGGCAGGGACACCTCCCACTAGCCCAGGTTGCCCAAAGCCTCATCCAGCCTGGCCTTGAACCCCTCCAGGGATGGGGCATCCACAGCTTCTCTGGGCAATCTGGGCCACTGCCTCACCACCCGCACAGGAAAACATTTCTTCCTAATATCTTCCTCGAGAGCATCCTTTAAATTCTGGGTGCTTGTGACTTCTCCACTGGCTTGGGAAGACTGAGCCTGGTGCTCTGAACCTCACACCAGCTTCTTAGCTCCCCCAGAAGCCAGATCCCAAATCACATGCCCCTTTCCTTTCCTTCCAGTCCAGGACCTGGTGCTGGACTGTACTGGGATGTCTCACTCACCAATTGCTCTTCCAGGTGTGCCGCACATGGGGGTCATGGATGTTGTGTTTGTCAGCCTGCTCATCCAGGAAATCAAACATGTATTTGATAGCCAGGGGAAGCGCACTGCCGCGGTGAGCAGTGCTGAAGATGGTCTCAAAGAGGTCATCTACAAATTTCTGGAGGGTGCCCTGTTGGGAGAAGGAAGGAAAAACAGAATGTGAGATACCAAGTGGGAAGAGGATGTTGAATTTTGGTACCCCACTGAAAACAGTATGTCTGCGGATCAGACCCAAGTGGTGTGATTGAAAAGCGTGAGCCAGCTAATGTCTGTTAAATGTGACATGAGCTGGAAATTTCAATACAGATGTTTTTAAGCAGGTGTGTGCATCTTCACAATATCCACTACATCTGGTTGGCAGCCAGATGGGGTAGGTCAAGATGCTGCCTCTCCTCTCTGCTACTAGCATAGTACTATGCCAGGGAGGGTGGCTGAGCTGTGGTGGGACACCTTCCCCTATCTCAGGTACATGGTGATGGAGAGGCCATCAAGATTTCTCCGTCCCATCAAGATTCCTCTCTGCTACTTCCAATCCTCGACTGCTTTAGTGTATGCATGAGACAAAACCTAGCCATTTTCTCTGCTGGCTTTCCTCCAGGGACAATTCTTAAGCTGGGAATAGACATCAACTGACTGCAGAGCAGAGCAGAAGGTGTCATTGAGACAAATGGAACAAGAGTGCCTGCAGAGAGATGGTTGTTTTATATGTGTGAGTAGTATAATAAATAACAAGAACTTTATCTTAATCCCCAGGACGCCTCCTCATTTTTTACTACCCATTGGCATGGGACTGAGACAAACTGAAGCAGTGCATAGATGTGTCAGGGTCCGCTCTGCAGACCTCAGTGATGTCCACCATAGAGACTGCAGAAGTCTCCTCGTGCTCCTCTGGAGGAGAATCTCAGATCCTTGGAGAAGCACCCTGGACACACTGGTGAGGATGGTCGGCCTTTAGCAAGAAGGTGAAGAGCTGGAATAGCAGAGAATGGCCAGGCCTGGAGATGGGGACAATTAGGGACCTGTGATAACCAGATGAGCTGCAGACTGGGCTTGGGGGTAACAAGTCAAGACACATTTCCCTTGCTGAATGGGAAGCTCTAGCCCATGTTCAAAGCTCTACCCTGCCATCAGGGCTGTATAGGCATTTATATGTGGCCAAACCATACAGCTGCTAAAATAATCAAAAAGCAATTGAATCTCCATCAAACATTTAGAATCACAGAATCACAGAATGGTTTGGGTTGGAAGGGACCTTAAAGACCATCTAGTTCCAACCCCCTGCATGGGCAGGGACACCTCCCACTAGCCCAGGTTGCTCAAAGCCTCATCCAGCCTTGCCATTTCCAGATATGAAAAATGTCCTCAGTTGAAAAATAACACCCTCCCCTTTCTCTGCAGACCCAGGAAAGAAATTCTCCTTCCTAGAAACAAAGCACCAGGTTCCACCAGAGTGGCTGGAGTTTACACAGCGCTAACAAGTACTTAATTAGAAAGCTGGTGTCTCTTGCTGATTCACCCCTTGATTTATTCTTTGGGAAACAGAGGTACCTTTTGCTTGTGCGAACTCCTCCAGGGTGAATAAAGCCCTACAGCACATGTCTGAGTCAGAAAGGGCCCCCAAGGGGAAATCTTGTTGGTCTGACATGGAAGAGCTGCCCTCAGGTTCAGTTTCTGGAGGGAATTAGTTCTCTACATGCTCACCCACACAAACACAAAGAAAAACTCTGAGGCTTTTAGGCAAGAGACTCTAGGTCTCAGAGGTCAGGGATTTAGCAGAATAAAAAATCATTCTCAGTTTAACTAAGTATTCCCTGGGATTGTATTACCAGAAATTGCTCTCTCTCCTCTTTTATGGTCATGATGAGAAAAGAAAATTGCTCAGCCCAAGAGGGGAAACAAGCAACCCCCAGCCTTTCTACTCTCTGTTTCGTAGTTGCTTTCCTGCTGTCTCCACACACAAAAAAAAAAAAAAAAAAAAAAACCCACAAAAAAACAAACCAAAACAAAAAAAGTGTTGAGTTTGTGATCCAGAACAGAAAGCAAAAGTGATTCAGTGGTGGGGTAAAGGACATATCCCCAGACAACATAAATCAGCACCAGTCCTGCTTGCTGGTTTACACCAGCTGGGGTCTGAGCCCTGGGGAGCATCGTTTGCTTTTGTTATTGTGTGATCCATAAAAGCATCTTGATGCCAGGGAGCTGGGCATGTACCAGGGGCTAAAGACAAAACCAATTTATCTCCAAATCCCACTGCAACATAGACAGGGAGAGTCAGACATCAGAGGCAAAATGAGTCGTGGAACAAATGTGCAGGTAAAACTGTACGGTGGGACTTAACCGTGTGATGGAGACCTGTCTGATGGAAAAACTCAGATGGTGTTTGCATGGACACATGAAATGGTCTTTGCGCCTATTAATACCCTGACAAGAAATGATAATAGTCAAAACTTCAGAGAAGGGAGGAAGATTGGGCTGTTTGATCACCGCTTGGTTTAATCCTGCTCAGGATGGGGTGAGATAACGCTGTGATCAGCCACACCTGAGCCACAGCTACCCTGCAGCTTCCATTCTGGGAGGCATTGAGAGAACTCTCCTGTTAGAGAGATTTGGGCATGGAGATGCTCTGTGCTGCAAGAGGACAGCAGAACTGCACAGGGAGCTCTGGTTAAACTGCCTTCCTCCCCACCTGCCCTGGTCCCTGCTGGGGTGCAGCTTCTTCATTAATGCAGGTTACTCCAAGGATACCACCATCCACAGGGTGGAAGAGCAAATAAATGGAAACTCAGACAACTGCTGTTGCCTATACACGTGTAGAGCCTTTAGAGGTGAGTTAAGTGGAGGATAGTCTTGGTTAGAGATGAAAGAACGTGAAAGACCTGAGATGTTTTGTCAAGCCCAGAGCAAGCCAGTTGCAGCAAGAACTGGCCATCCCCTTCACAGGGAAGGGACAGCATCGTGGTGAGTGACAGTGAGTCCTTTCTGTACAGACAGTGGCAATGAAGCCACTTTCTGTGGCTGTCCCAGAGCCAAAGTTCACTGCAGCAAGTTTTAGACCCATCAGCTTCGGTGATCTCCACTTGTGCAAGTGTCCTCCACATGGTGCTGCATCCTCAGTGATGCTAAACACTCACACGATTTCCAGCATTTCAGCAGGGAATATAGACCGAGCAGATGGGATCTTATGAATGTCCTGACACAATCTTTACCCTTTCTGCAGAAACTTACCATGGGCCAGCTGTGATGTTACTGAAGATTCAGCTCAGGATGTCCCTGCTCTGCCCTCAAGTGACTTAATCTCTATTTTCTCTTTGGAGACTCTGAGCTTTCCATGTCTCAGTGGGGATGGGCATCTAATGGCGGTTGCTCTCCTTGGAACTGGCCACCTATTAGGCACATCATGGTCATCTTAACCCCCTTCCAAGTCATCTTTTTGTCCCAGGGGAAAGATGGAGAAGAAAGACTTGTACCATAAGACTCAGGGTTTTGTGGTATAGGACCCCATTTCAGAATGTGAAGCGTGACACATCCTTGGAACCTGATCTGGGCATGTTTACTCCCTGGTTCTTCATTTGCTCAATTTTGGTATAAGCTACAAGACAGTATAATCGACAACCCCAACACATGCCCACCCCTGTGCTGACTTTCTCCACCAGTCTCATGGCCCTGAGTTCTTTACTCCTCATTGCTCACCAATGGCCCTTTTCTGACTCTGCTTTCTAAATTCAAGCAGCTTCCCTCCATTCTTGGAGCACTCCTCTTGCTCTGTTTTCCTCCTCTCTTTATTATCCTTTAGCATCCTTTGAGCAGTCTCTCATTTCTTGTTGGCAAGAAGTTCCTCTTCAGCCTTTTAAAAAGACATTTCTCACCCTCTTCTCCACCCCCACCATGTACCTTGGTGGCGAGTAGCCTTGTCAGGTAGATCTCAGAAACCATCTTGCTGCCCCGGTCACCTTCTTTTTGGTCACCGTGCTCATGGTTCTTCACCAAGTGCCACATCTTGACTCCACTTTCAAGGTCAGGGGTGATCATAGGGGTGCGGGAACGGAGGCTATCCGGGCTGCCCGTGTACCGGATCATGTTTTCTGCAAAGACAGATGCACGTATATCAGCCCCAGTAGTGCTCGTATTGGGATTAATGGGTTTCATCAAGGAAATATGCTAATGACAGGCAACCTAAGAGAAGTTTTTCATCAGACAGGAAAGAAGACCTCTTCTGTCTGGGTTTGGAAGCAGGTACCTCTCCTATTTGGTATATGGAGAGGATGCTCATACGGATTCTGTTGTGGAGCTGAGACAATCACAGCTGGTGATCCGACCCTGGGGAGATGTTAGCTTGCATCTCCAAAGGAGGAAGGCTGTACCAATAGTGCAATGACCCTGCTCTTGCAACCTCCACATTTCCATATTAGTATTAAATAATTTCCATCAGCCAGTTTGTAACATTAGGCAACACAGGTGTATCTCCTGGTGGAATACTCATGGTAACTCGTATGGCTAAGTCCAACCTGTTTTGCCTGGCCATGCTGCTTGGCATTATGGCCAGAGAACAGCCCATGGCCTTTTTGCACAGTAATATTGATGTAGCTAATGTGACCTCTTGTCTAGCTCCCCACCCTTAGGCTCAGAAGGAGCTGCCTCTCTTCCCTTCTTTGGCATCAAGGCAATCCCATACCTCCTGCCCAGCCATCCTCTTCACTCCCTGCTCCAAAATCTTCTTTTGACAAAAAGTAAACCAGAACCCCAGGTGGGCCAGCACAAATTTCCTCTCCAAGGACATCTTTAGCCTCCAGATTCTACCTCCCTTTGCCTCTGAGTGATGGCAGGAGGCATTCCCCGCTCCCTGACCTTCCAGCAATGCTGGATAGAGTCTTTTCCAACCATAATTAACAGAAGAATGTTACACCTTTCAGTAGCAAGATCTGAATCAGTCTCATTAATGCATTACCAATCTCTACATATTAATTATCAGCTGGATTATCCTTTTTCTCTCTTGATGCCGTTTTCTTAATTGCAATTAACAACCACTTCTGACCCACCACATCTTCTCCCTTCCCCTGCATTCTTCCCCACTCCCTCCTCCTGAAAAAAATCAAATGGCAAAAGAATTAAAGAAATCCAACAGAAATTAACCCCCATCAAGTCTTCCTTTTCAAAGGTCACTGTGTCTTTCAGTAATTGCAACAACATGGCAAAGAGGATGAATATTAATAAGGTCTGGTGGATTGCTTTTGTCCTTGGAGAATGAGGAAGGGGGCTCCTCTGGACATGGAGTAACTACCTTCCCTCAAGCTAAAGGGAGTAAGAAGGATGGGAGATGCTTTCATAAAATTAAAAAAAGTAAACTGATATGACATCCAAGTTAGAGGGTAGTTTTGCAGCACTCTGGCTGCACATTAGAGGTGTTTTGCTTTGCCCCCCAGCATTGCCATAGTGAGACAATATCCTGGGCTGCAATTCTAGTGGAGGGGAGGAAGGTGTGTGATGGTGTGAGTGAGACTCAGGAAGTCTCTGTTTGGCTTTACGGAATTTCCACCTGGTTTCTATTTCACAGCTGGCTCGTTGTCAGTTGTCTCATGGGTAAAGTGGGAACAACAATCCACCGCCTTGAGATATACTGATATAGGACCTAAGTAAGACATTTTTATTATTATTCCAGGTGCAGATTCCCTTGGGAAAATAAGATAGCTGGGTGGGACACATAACACCCACACTGAGATTTAACCGAAGACAGGCTATGCCCTAGGTGGGTTGTGGTTGCTCGTGGTCCCAGAGTCCTCTCATCTGAGACACAGATTTGTCTTCACAACAGACCATTCTCCAAGGACTTTGCCCACCAGTACAACCGAGATTGTCCAGTGTGCAGTGCTTCTCCCAGCGTAAACTCTAAGAGTGAGATTCATCCCATCTGACTACAGAGATCTAAAACGTAGGTAGCTAATTATATTGTCTTGTCCTCTCATTAATGAGGGAGGAGAAGTACAACCTAGGAGCAATCCAGACACTTGGATAAACATCTTGGACCAGATGCCAATGTTTTAGGTGGTTAAATCGTCTCCTCCTGCCATCTCTCAAACAATCATATCAACTAGTCATTTGCCTATGACTCTCTCTGTTGGTTTTCAGTGTCTTGTAACCACCATGATGTTTGGGATCTCTCCTCCAGTGCTCTCTCAATCCATACCAGCATGTAGACCCTTACCGTACTTGCTGGCTGAGGTCCTGGAGACCGTGGAGTTGTTGACTGCATTGTAGGCAGTGACCTGCTTGGAGACTAAAGCTACCACAGATCCATCTGGAACCTGTAGAGAAAAGGGGACTTTGTCAATAAGCTTCTGAGAACAGGCTGAGGAGCATGCCAAGAACAACAGAAATTCAAGCAGCAGAATGAACTCTAAACCAGTGTCACCGTAGGCAGGACAGTAGTTTTGGCCCAAAGCTTCAGATGCTTTCCTCAGTGGGTCTATTAACAAAAAAGGCACAAAAACTCCTGTTACACCGCTAGAAGCCTGGACTTGGGTAATAGGACAGCTGATGACAAAGCAGACTCTCCTCCGTTCAGGTCCCGATTCAAAGCCCAGAGACAACAATGTGACAACATTAACCTCCCTAAAGCAGTAGGTTCTTCACAAGGAAGCTCTTCTGCAGGGTCAGGAACATGAGAAGAATAAAATCATCTGGGCTATTTCAAACATCAAGGACGGGATGTCCCCGAAGGATGATAAAACTGATGTGAAATTTTCTGTCCCTTCCTCCTCCATTGCAGGTGACACCTAGGCACCTAGCTCAGAAATGGGCATCTACATTTTCCACTTTGACTGATCCTCTCAACCTCTCCACGCACAGTCTTGCCCTTTCACGCCACAAATGCACTGCTGGACTAAAGTGACCACAACTTCTTTCTCTTTGCTGTGTCAGAGGCCCTCAGACAGGGGAAAACAGCAGGTTTGGAGTGCCTGTGCCCCAAGATGTCACGGTACGGTGATTCAACAGATAACAAAGCTTTCTGAAACAAGCCAGCCTTTCCATTTCTACAGCTAGGCAATTCGTGTGGGTCCAGTATCAGAAATGTTAACAAGGCAGTGGCTCAGAGGAGCCGTATCAGGAATATCTGTGATAAATAAGACATCATAAAAAGGAGACGGGTGAAAAAAAACCTGCTAACAACGTCTAACTCTTGTCTGTGTAATAATAATAATTAGCACTTGCATAGAGTTTTTCATCTTCAAAGCACTGTAGAGGCTAATTACATAGCCCCTCAGCAATCAAGGAGGGCAATAATTGGCTCTTTGTACTTTTAGCCCCACACTACAGATGGGGAAACTGAGGCAATTGGAATATCAGTGTCTGTCCATGCATGCTCCGTGTCTGCCCTCTGGACAGCCAGGGTAAACCATGTGGAGCTCAGCACCCTGACAGATGAGACCTGTTCTGTCCCAGCTCATCCACATAGCTGGGAGCTCATTGCCTGAAGAAAACAACTGGAAAAAGCACAGAAGGGAAAGAAAATGATGCCCAGTTTGTTGGTGAAATAAAATAGAAAACATCCCCCCTCCCTCTCAAAAAAGTGTTCTGGAGTCTAGCCAGCAATGCTTCAGTCAATCTGAAGTGAAAAGTTTTGTTTCCTTTTCAAATTATTGTTTGCTGCATCCTCAGGTCAGCTTTTAAAGGAAAAAATCTTGTTATGAAACACAGATTGCTGAGATGTGCTTGAGGAAACAACAAAATTGTCAGCACTGGATTAAATTTAATGAGATGCTTGCCTTTTTTTTTTTTTTTTTTTTTTTTTTTGCAAGGAGGGGAAGGAGTGGGGAGAGTTTTTGACCAAAATTCAGTTTTCCATTAAATGTATCACCTGTGTAAGATACTTCTGGACATCTTTAGCCCTCTCTTATGGATCTTGAGGTCATGCAGAGACAAAGGGAAGCCCTGTCCCAAGGCAGGTCACACAGATTAAGACAGGGATTAAAACCAAGGGTTCCTAGGTCAATGCCAACTCCACTGCACCACTGTCTCCAATCATGCTGCTTCCCTCCTCTTTCTTCCAGACACCAGGCCTCCTTCCCTTCCATTTTTCACTCTTCCATCCTTCTGACCTTTGCTAGCATTACAAGGCCCTCAGCACTCTGTAAACAGGGGGATGGAAAGGCTCGATTTGTGTTAGTCTATATGAACAATGCCAACTTCTGTTGTCGTCGTGACTGCATCTCTTCACATTCTTCACTCACTAGGGTTGACCTTCCCTAGAGAGAGACAGTGGATTTTTTCTTCCCTTGCCTTCATCTCTAATGATGTGCAGGATAATTTCTACAAGGACATGGAAAAGAATGGATGTACTCAACATGGGGGCTCTGCCCAATTGTTGACCACCCACCCACTGTTTACTTCTGCATCTTAAAGAATAACACTTTGACCTTCTCCTTTCTATTTTCTTGGCTGATCTACCTTCTACCCATCCTCTCACATGGTTACCTGATAGTGTGCCAGTGTGTTGAGTCTCTTCCAGTCATTCTCTATCTTGGTTGTGATGTCTTCGTCCTGGAGGATCATCCTTGCCCCACTTGCTTGCCGCCACTCTGCAAGGAGAATAGGGACAGTGAACTCTGGGACAGAGCCCTGGTCACCCCTGTGTCCATAACACATGTAGTCATACATGTGCAGGCTGCATCCATGTCAGTCATTGCCTTTACTCTCTGTCAGATGCCTCCAACCACATACAACATACAAGTGCACAAATGTTCAGAGCCCCTTCTTTCCAGAGGGGAAGAAGAGACAGATGAACCATTGAAAGTGCAGGGAGATGGTTCAGAAAAGTATGCAAAAACCATAGCCATATGGCAAAGTTGAGAGTCAAGTCCTAAGTTATCCAGACTGGTTTCTTTACCCTTGATAAAATGATATTGCAATCACAAAACAACTTTTGCAGACGAAACCTCCACTCCTTTAAAGAGTGACACCATACAGACAGCAGAACATAGAGCAGTTGCCTACAGAGGTGAGAGGTCCAAGGCTAGGGCACAGCAGCACACAGACCTAGGGGACACCTACCCACAAGGCTAGGGCACAGCAGCCTCTCTACAGACACACAAAACAATGACCAGAGAGCTGTTGATCCATCGGCGGAGCTGAACGTAAGGACTGGTGCTTTAGTCCCCCGATTATTCACAGTGCTTAACTCCTAGCTTACTCCCTGGCTCTGTTCTTGCTCCAACATGGCTGTTTTCAAGACCAACCTGTCCTTGCATGACTATGGGACAAGAGTAAATTAATGTCACTTCTGTCAGGGACAGAAATTAGTCTCTGGCCCTCTTTATTTCATCAGCATGGACACAACTAAGTGAGACACGTCTACTACAGATTTGCCTATAGGCAAAGAACACATGAACATAACTAAAAGGAGAGAAATGTAGTATCACCTGGTGACACCAGGTAAAGCTGTGGCTTAACCACAGACAACCCAGACCATACAAATCTTCTTTTTTGGTTATCATGTTTCAGTCACATACAGCTCAGCCAGAGCCACAGCAGAAAGTCTATTCATTTGAGGGATTTAATTAAAATGAACTCTTGGATATGGAGACATCACCTGCCACCCCTGCTTATTTCTCCTAATATAAAAATGCAAGGACCGTTGCAAATTTCTTTTGGTTTCAGCAGTTTTGTTATCACATAATTAAAATGTATTGGGAAAGCCACCCTTGCCTTTATTATTCATTTAAATTAGTAGGAAGAGGTCAGCTGCTGTGTTTATTGCTGGGCATTACTTCGACTGGAGATACTCAGAAAGTAAGCAAAGGTTATGTTGGCTAAGCACTGATCCTGAACTGCCCTTTGTTTACTCCAGTTCCTTAGAACCTCACCTACATTACCCTTGTGATGTCCGAGGGTGATGCTGCCTGTTCATTCCCAGCCAGACCATAGCTAGTGCGGGGCTATGTTTGGATTTGTGCTGGAAACAGTGTTGATAATTCAGGGATATTTTAATTACTGCTGAGCAGTGCTTACACAGAGTCAAGGACTTTTCTGTTTCTCACCCCACCCCACCAGCAAGCAGTCTGGGGGTGCACAAGAAGTTGGGAGGGGACACAGCTGGGACAGCTGAGCCCAACTGACCAAAGGGATATTCCATACCATGTGAAGTCATGCTCATAAAACTGGGGGAAGAAGGAGGAAGAGGGAACATTTGGAGTGGTGACGTTTGTCTTCCCAAGTAACCATTACACGTGATGAAGCCCTGCTTGCATGGAGATGGCTGAACACCTGCCTGCCCATGGGAAGTAAGGAATGAATTCCTTGTTTTGCTTTCCTTGCATGCGTGGCTTTTGCTTTACCTATTTAACTGCCTTTATTTAACTGCCTTTAACTGCCTACGAGTTTTCTCACTTTTACCCTTCTGATTCTCCCCTCCATCCCAACCGGGGGGAGTGAGCGTGTGGCTGTGTGGTGCTTTTTGCTGTCAGGGGTTAAACCATGACATCCCTCAAGCCCTTTGTGCTCCTGCACAGACACAGGAGGTTACCAAGCCCTTCCTCTTGGCCTTCGTGCAGAAAGGGGCCACGCAAGGAAGAGCAAGGGCCAGTCTGACTCGCCACAAGACCCACTCCTGAGAAAGACAAGGGGGAAAACACCCTGCAGGGCAGGTTCAGAGCATCCGGCTTCAGTTTTGCAGCCAGTTGGCCCTGACCAAATACAGACCACTTCATCGTGCTTCTGAGCAATGACAGGGAAAGAACCCCCAGTTATGGTCGTCCAACTCGTCCTAGTCTCCCAGGAGCACTGCACGGTCTCCTTCTTTGCAAGTGCCAGCTGAGGTAGCCACACACCAATCTGCAAGGAAATTCAATGGCTGGGAGCAAGGGAATGGGAAGGGAGGGCACAAAGGAGGAAAAGGTGACCCTGACATCCATATTCACAGCACTAAGTGAAAACTGTTTGCTTTGTCCTCGCTGGCAGCACCCTGTCCTCTCTCTCATCAGATCTGAGCGCTCCTCTGCAAGCCGGCACAAAGGAGAGACATACTCCAATCCAATTTGTTACACTTCCACCTTCCGGAGAGAGGAGGGAGAGGAGGAGGGAGGCAAAAAATCCCATTATCTTTATCAAGCCTTCCAATCAGGAGCAGCGGTAAATGCAAACTCAGGAGACAGCTGCTGTGAAGCCTTTATATTTCATTCAGCAGATAGTGTATCTTTTTATTGCACGCAGGAATTACTTCTTCTTCTTTTTTCTTTTTTTTTCTCCTTTTTTTTTTTTTTTTTTTTTTTTTTAAGAAACAACCTTTCTGTTCAACTTGACTGGGAAAAAAGAAATTCTGGGGGCCTTTGACAGAGAGGTTTCTTTGAGCTCTAGCAATGCCTGGCTAGGGAATGACTCTATGGGGAAATGTGAAATGGGGAGATGTCCTCCTGTGCCTTAAATCCTACAGAAAATGTTACATGTCCCTTGTGCCTTCTCTCTGATATGGGTCACCCTGAAGATGCCCACTGAACAAGGGAGAAAAATGCAGAAGATAAAACATTTTTCAGGGACAATTGAAATACCCAGGTGGATGGAAAACCTGCCAGCTCAATCCAAGTGCCTTCATTTGAGCTAGTCATCATCAGTTACGCCATCCTTTACAGGTACTTCTAGGTCATGATGCCCATAATCCATTTCAGTCAACTCTTCATGCCATATACTGTGCTTCCCACTCTTTTCCTAAAGACCCCAAGTCTCCCAGGAAGGGTTGGGAAATATTTTGTGGCTGACTGTGCACAGCAATGGCATGTGGAACAAACGAATGTGGCTTATCCAGGCTCAATGCCTCTTTCATGACCACCTGTGCTCATGAAGAGCTGGGGGGTTGCTTTTAGTCTTATGAGTAGTTTTTTACTTTCCAAACATTTCCACATGAGAAACAGATCGGCACAGGAAATATGAGAATAAACGGTTTTCCAATATGCTGCAGGCACCAGGTGGGTAGGAAGCAAAAATGGGTAAACGTCTAATATGTGGTGATGTCACAGAGAATGGAGAAGAGGAGGCTGAGAGGAGTCCTCATCACTCTCTACAACTGCCTGAAAGGAGGGTGCAGTGAGGGGGGTGCTGCCTCTGCTCTAAAGGAACAAGTGATAGGACAAGAGGAAATGGCCTCAAGTTGCACCAGGGGAGGTTTAGGCTGGATATTAGAAAAAATTTCTTCACTGAAAGAGTGATCAGGCATTGGAACAGGCTGCCCAGGGAAGCAGTGGAGTCACCATCCCTGGAGGGGGTCAAGAAACATGTAGATGTGGTGCTTGGGGACATGGGTTAGTGGGTTGGGTGGTGCTGGATTGACGGTTGGACTTGATGATCCTTGAGGTCTTTTCCAACCTTAACGATTCTATGATTCTATGTCTAGGAAGAAAGGAGAAACTCCTGTCTGCTTCTTGGGTGGAGAAAGGAACACTGTGGTTTCTTTAGTTAGTTAATATCAGAACATGTAGATGGAAGATACCAGGGAAATATTTCATCTTGTAGATGCAAGTTGTCTGCCTCGCTGTATATATACCAGAGTTAGGCTCAGTTTAAATGTCTCCTAAAGTTTGCACCCCTCATCCCAGTACTGCACCATTGGTGAGGCAGTGAAAGCTTGCCTGACATGGTCCACAACAAGCCTGGGACAGCATCCCTGCTTGCAAGAGAGTCAGCCTAGCAGCTCCCATCACATCAGCAGTCCCTTTCAAAAAGCAACCAAAACGCAGGGAAGAGTGAATACCTCCACATGGAGCCAAATTCCTGTTTTGTGATCCTTACACCCTAATCCTTTCCCAAAGACGGGGTATTTTATTTATGGCCAGGGCTTTAAAAAATAATAATAACAAAAATAGCCACTGCAGAAAGAAGCCTTCAGTCAGAGGGCTGCAATTTGGGTTTTTTGGACTAAAATGTAACCTCAGGGTGTCCAAAATAAGTGCTTTTGGCTGACAACCCCCTCCATGAGTTGTCTGGGTAACTGCAAAACATTATGACATTTGCGACACATACAAGTCACTCTGCCTGCAGCTACCCTGCATTTAACAGCTCAAAATAACTCATTAGCTTGTTTGCTTTCTTCCATGTGAGCAATCTAGCCATGGTATGGACAGAAAGCCCAGAAAACTGCAACGGTAATGGAAAACAGTGTTGTTGTTTAGAAAACCATCAATTTCAAGGCCAGATTACAGTCATCTGCTCTGACCTACTGTTTAGCATAGACTGCTGCATCCCCAGCAGCGTGAGCAGCAGGGCGAGGGAGGGGATTGTCCCCCTCTGCTCCGCTCTGGTGAGACCCCCCCTGGGGTGCTGCACCCAGCTCTGGGGTCCTCAGCACAGGACAGACACGGAGCTGCTGGAGCGGGGCAGGAGGAGCCACGGAGATGGTCCGAGGCTGGAGCAGCTCCCGTGCCAGGACAGGCTGAGAGAGTTGGGGGTGTGCAGCCTGGAGAAGAGAAGGCTCCACGGAGACCTTAGAGCAGCTTCCAGTGCTGAGAGGGGGCTACAGGATGGATGGGGAAACACTCTTGAGCAGGGGGTGGAAGGATAGGACAAGGGGGAATGGGTTTAAGATGAAAGAGGGGAGATTGAGAAGAGATATGAGGAAGAAATGTTTTCCTGTGAGGGTGGTGAGGCAGTGGCCCAGGTTGCCCAGAGAAGCTGTGGATGCCCCATCCCTGGAGGAGTTCAAGGCCAGGCTGGATGAGGCTTTGAGCAACCTGGGCTAGTGGGAGGTGTCCCTGCCCATGGCAGGGGGTTGGAACTGGATGATCTTTAAGGTCCCTTCCAACCCAACCCATCCTGTGGTTCTACAACTGGCAGGGCTGATCCAGCTGCCTTTGAATTCTGAGCATTCAGCTTGGGGCAGGCTGATCCTGAGAGCTCTGTGGTGTTTTCTAATGGCCAGCAGTGCTTTCTGCTCTCCCCTTGCTGCCTTCCCTGTCACTGAAGGATTCCAGGTGCCAATAAACATATTTTCCTGCAAAGAGGCTGGGCTGGAGCTGTGCCTCGACATGCATATCCTCTTGTCCCTGCTTCACCTGTGCCAGCCCCTGCTCCTCCCACCTCGTTAGCTGCTGTGCTGAAGGAGTCTGCAACTATACTGCTGCTAGCAAGACTCTTCTAGACGAGAGGATTTAGGGGATTTTTGTGTTTCTTTCCCCCCCCAACTGCATCATCAATGCTATTGGCCAAAGGTCTGCTCATTAAGCAGTCTTCTGTCAGTATGGACAAACCTGTCCTCAGAGGGGTGCGCATGTTCATAAATACTTTCTGGAACTTGCTGGTCCTCAGCACCACTCAGCAGGTCAATACTTCTTAAAACAGCAGCAGTCCTGGATGTACAATTGTCAGGCTCCAGCTGGGACCCCGCACACATACACTTCTGTATCTGTCAGCTGTCAAAACTACAATAAAATCTGTGGACTCCAATTTATCCCTTGTATTTGCAACATGCAGGTAAGATTCCTGCTTCCCAGTACATATGCATTATTCATCCCCACAGCACAACAAACTACTTTCCAGTTACTCCCAGTCTGAGATCCAAATGTAATGGGCTCTGTGGCCACCATCCAGCATCAGACAGTCCAATAGATCTGGCTGTAAAGCCCAGTGAGATCTCCTGTGCCCTGGCACCCTGCCCTGCCTGCCCTCCTGCTCACCCTACCCCTCCTGACTCACAGCAACTCCCAAATCACCTTGGGTCCTTTCTTGATGATGTATATGATCTGTTCTTTACTGCTGCTGGTTTTGGCAGCTTGTTTCATTATTCTAAGAGCCTTTCATGAGCAGGAATCTTGCTGCAATTTCTGTCAGGATTCCCCTCCTCCCTTACACATACGCACACGCATACAGACACTTAACTTGAATCCCTGACCTCCCATTCCTGCCTCCATTATTGCTGTGAATGGTTTCTTGGCGTCACTCCGTTCCTTTCTCCTTTTGGTTCCTCTTCTACTTTGCTAGGTTTTATAGACTCCATCATTTTGCACTCAAATCTCTTCCACTGAAGGCCACTGAGGGCAAATTCTGGCAGATACAGCCACAATGTGGTCCCCAGATCCCTACCAGGCATCTCTGCGATGCCCTGAGCAGATTTTTCTACATTCTTTCCCAGTAGCTTCCAGATGTAGTACCCCATCTGCCTCTGGACCCCAACTTCAGACATCCACTCCTCCCAGCATCCTTGCTCTGGATTTTGGACAGAAACAGATTTTGGCTTCAGAGATACCCCAACACTGGGCTGTACAGCTCCTGGTGTGCCCCAGAGCTCAATTGCTTAGAAATGCAAGTGAAGGTGGTGTAGATTTTTCCACCCTCCAAGCAGCAGGAAGGAGCAAACACTGAGAAAAACAAAAACAAAAACAACCCCAAACAAACAAAAACAAAAAAAACCAAACCCCAAACCACAAATTCATAAATACAAGGACTGATCTTTCCTTAAGACCTCCAAGTCCTCTGCAGAAAGGAAACCCCAGAGCAGCAGCCCCCAGCCCTGCTGTTGGTGGTGGGTTGCTGGGAGGAGGGAAGCAGTCAGGGGTGAGATGGATGCAGCCCACTAACCAGGGGATGCTTTATCCCCTTTCCTATGCTCACACAACAAGCAATTAATACTTCTTGGGCTCTAACTATCTCAGCAAGAAAAGATATATAATACCCAAACTCTCCCTGTTCAGAGAAGAGCTAGGAATATATTCCTGCAGCCTGAACACTGCTGACCACACCACTCTGGGCATTTGGTGCTTTTTTTCCAGGAATCTTTGGCAGGACAATGAGAATAGCCCCAGTCATGCCTTTTCCATACCCTTGTCCAAGTTGAATTCTGTGGCCAGAAAAGCAGGATGGCTACTGGTCTTTTTAAGTCCTCAAGACCAAATATTTCATAAGCCCGGAGTACATGCACCAATGTAGTCCCTCTCTTCCACCCTCTCATCATGGCTTCTGCTCTGCCTTGCACAAGCACCATGGGCACACCCAGTCTGGAGATGTGGCACTTGCCCCATCGAAGTGTCTAGATTGTTTTTAGCTCTCTCCCATCTTCCCTCTCTCCCCTGCCCGGGGGCAATCAGAGCCCATTGTGCACACACACGTACCCAAGTCCATATCAGCAGCTTTGGGCCGGTGGGAGCAGGGCACGTTCTTGAAGATGGCATCGAGGATTTTCTCCTTGACTTGCGTGATGGTGTCACAATTCAGGATCTTCACAGGGATCTCGGGGCTGTTCACGTTGTCGGGGTTCACGCAGCTCAGGACCTGAGAGAGAGGCAGTGAGACCCACCACACATTGCACAGAAGCACAGGTACCCTCTGGCCACCCTTCTGCAGCCACCTTCTTGCAGGTCCCCACGTTCTACAAGCCCAGGGTGAAATAAGGGGAAAAATGTGTACCAAGAGTATTTGCCCTTTCAGAGGGCACAGAGATCTGGTTTCTGGATTTAATATCAGTGAATTAAAGGTAACACAGGATTTGAAGAGTCCTGAATTTGAAAGAAGTTGTGGATGCCCCATCCCTGGAAGTGTTCAAGGCCAGGCTGGATGAAGCTTTGAGCAACCTGGGCTAGTGGGAGGTGTCCCTGCCCGTGGCAGGGGGTTGGAACTTGATGATCTTTAAGGCCCTTTCCAACCCAAACCATTCTGTGATTCTATGATTCTATGATTCTATGATCTGGCTCTCAGCTAAGTGCTGTGGGCTTCCAGATGTTGCAGCCAGTGACTCGGGACTGATGTGAAGGTTTTTCTGAACTTAGGTCTCAGGCCGCTTGTCTCTGTGAGGTGAAACTACTATGCCTATGGGAATGACCCCTTAGATTTGAGCCTCATCTCCTTGGCATCTTCACTAACTTAATAACAGGAAGTCCATTAATACCACCTCAGGTTCTGGTGCTTTCAGTAAAAACTCCATTCAGGCAAACGGTACCAGACAATGGTCGTTGACACACTCTTTTCATAGAAATGATCAAAAATGCAATCAAGCCTGATCCCAGTTGGAGCTGGACTGATATCCAAAGGAACTAGATGATTTTTAAGGTCCCTTCCAACCTAAACCATCCTTCAGTTCTATGAGTCTATGATATTAATTTGAAATGCAGGGATTCTTAAAAAAAGACACACAAAACAACAGCAACAAAAACTTTTGCTTTCACCTTTCACATATAGAACAAGAAAATTAACTCAACTAGAGAGGCCCCTCCTTTCTTAAAAGGAGAATTTTCTGTGAAGACTCTGTGCAAGAGTAAATGCAAAGCATATGGGCTGGCAAGGGAGGGATGCCTTAAACACACATACACAGTGTTTAACAGCAATCTGCCTGCTAACCTTTGGCCATGTCTATGTTGAGCATTCTGCTCTCTTCTGGTTACAAGTGTGCGAAGTCTATAAACTTCTATAAACTTAGCACACCTTTGCACTCTGAGGCATTGTTCAGTGATGCTCCTGGCTATATACTGTCATTAAACTTTCCTATGCCACTTTTACAAGAGCACACATGTTAGGTTTTGTGCCTTAGACAAATTCTACCTTGACTATAAATTCCCTTCTGTAGTATTCAGTAGATACTGGACTCTCCATCACTTTCCATCTTAACCTACTAAGATGCAGTGGGATCTCAAAGTGGCTTGAGACTGGGTGAAATCATATCAGTATAATTATATATTGGCTCACCAGGCTCTCTTTGGTGATGTTATGCTCGACTAAGAGGGACTTGTGAAGATATTGCTTACAAAGAGCTCTGTGATCTTTCTGGATGAAAGGGGAGATGTAAATACGAGATATTGATTAGATCGTAATGCTATTATTTATATGTCACTTCCAGGAGTATTGAAGAAGCATCAATTCAGACAATAATAACAACGGCAGAGATTTACAGTTCTGTGGCATCTTTAATCTCAAAGGATCACAGAACTCCACATAAAAAGCCCTGCTGAAACACATCCAGTGTCGAGGTTATTAGTTGCCCCCCTCTCATTGCACACCTGTAGAGAAATGAAGCAGTGATGGAGGCTAGGACAGCTCTTTTGAAAGTGCCATGCTTCTGGAGACCAAGTTACCCTGCAGGTCTCTCTCAGTGATCCAAGCTCAGCTAAGGCAGATTGAGCTGATCCCAGCCAGAGCAAGGTCTGTGGTGGGATTCACCTCTGATGCGAGTACCTGGGACTCGATTCAGTTCCCACATGAAGGTATTAAGTGCAGTTTAAAATAATCTAGGCTACCTTACCAGGCATCTACCTCCTGGTCCAGAAGGGCCAACATCTCCACTGCCCACCACACCAGTACCCACCATGCAACGTGGACCATCATCTGGCCGGAAGCTGACAATGGTGATTTGCTCGTATAATTTGATTGTCCTTAAATTTCACAAGGGGACAACTTCAGAAGGCCTGGGTGAGCCATGATCATTCATGCCCTGACTACAGAAGTCCTTGCTTTCCTCTTTTCCAGCTCAGTTGGAAGAAGAAGGAGCAGGGAAGGCAATACCTCAAAGAGATGTGCAGAGAGAAGTTTGCTCTTGGTGGCCTCAAGAGTGGGGCAGCTGGTAGTAGCTGCCAACCCCTGGACACTGTTATCTTCATTTCAGTGATGGTCAAGAGGCTCCTTTCAACATTTTTGGGTAATTCAATCATTGTTTATAGAAACCAAGAGCTTTCCCAGAGCACAGTGGCTTTGACATATATACCCAAGGCTTCACATCAACCCTCAGCTGATGTGAAGCTGGGGCAGAGCTGCCAAGGTAGGCTTCAGTGTCACTCAAGGAGATGCTGAATGTTCTGCCCCTGAGAAGACACCAGTATTTGTCACTGCTGTTCTGTCATGCATTGAGGTCTGTGTCAGCACAGCATAAGGACCAGTTGTGAGATCAACATGGAAAGGTTGGAGCAAGCAAAGTAGTGATCTCTGAGTCCTGCTCTCCCACTGACTGTTTAAAACCTTGGGGCACATCATCTCACTGGATTTGTGTTTATTGACCTTTTTCTACATCCTTGGGCTTTTTTTTTTTTTTTTTTTTTGTCTGCCAGCCCTTCCAACCATGAGCTGTCTCTAAGTGTATATATATACATCCAATGCTTAGCACAACTAAGCTCTGATCTCCACTGCAGATTACTGACGTTTAAATAATAAAGACACAGTTTGGGATTTCTCATATGAGGACCCTGGCTCTGAGTTCTCTGCAGTGTTTGAATGGTCTACAGTTTCTGCTCCAGGGTAAGACATCTTTCTCTCCCTTCTAGATTGGGCTAATGAGGGTCCAAGAAGACTAACACATAGTGAGGCTTGGCAGCGAGTAAGGAGGAGAACCCTCCTAAAGAGTCCAAGCATTGGAGAGCCTTCTGATATCTCTGTAGTGGCTTCCTCCTTGCCACTAAAATTTCCTGAAAAGCCTTAACCAAAAGCATCTCAAAGCATCTTTATCCATCTGGAATATGCTTTCAGGAGAGCTGATCCAATTAGAATCTCAACATTGGAGCCGCCAAGGTGGGCATGGTCAAAAAATCATGTATTCTGGAAAAAGCAGATGGCGGTCAGCAGGGATGAGATCTTCCTATCATCTCTCATAGATGGAATAATCTTGCTGGGTTTTTAATAACACTGCAGACCAGTGGTGATGAGCCCTGACTGTTAGTGAAGACATTAACACCAGAGGGTGTTTCTCTGAGGTATGCAGCCTGGGAGAAAACCCACTGTTTCGTTGCAACACATTTATTCTGTCAAATCACACCTGTGACTAGCTGAGTTTCTCCTGGACTGAAAAATCCTTTGTAAGTACAGAAATTGTTACAGACCGCGAAGATTCTGGGACATGGGGCTGCTTCCTTGGAGAATTGTAGGACCCAGCAGACAGCAAATTGGAGCTATCTGGTTTGGAGAGAAATCAGACTGAAATAATCTAAATGTAGTGAATGAGGTGTGCATTGTAAAATCAGTAATTCCAGATGTCTGGAAGTGCTTTGTCTTCTTTTTTGTCCCTGGATAAGTCAATTTCTTTGGATCTGCTTTTCACTCAAACCATATTCAAAACCATGACTTAAAATATTTGGTCGTGATTAATGAAGGTTAAAGAAGAAATGTCCTCCAGAAGAAGCTCTGGCCTTGTCTTCCTCAAATAATGACAATAAACAGCCTGTTTCAATGTGCCACGCTGCTGGAATCGTGATTTAACTCAGTCAAGCAATCATCTAGCACTCATGAAACATGAACAACCCAATAAATTTTAGCCACGCGCACCGCAAACTCACAGCGGTGACCAGGTGTATTTGGTGGAGAGCAGGAGACACTGAGGGAATTCCTCTGTTCCAAATACTGAATCCGTTCTTGCTTTATTTCATTGCTACATATTTTTAATAAAAGATGACAGACTGCTTAAGGAAGGTAGAGGAAGGAGAAAATAAACCAGAAATAAACAGAAAGAAAAAAAAATCCTATTCATATTCTGCTGCTTCTTAATCTCCTTCACCAAAGCTGATCTCTGTAAATCTGCTGAGATTCCTATCGGGATATATTTGTCTGCTCTTGAGATGTAAGAGGGAGAGCTGATTAACATCAAACGACACAAAGCGAATGGAGGAGAGCTTTGTTCAGGCTGATGTATAATTACTACTCTTTGCTGGCTGCTTTATATCAAGCCGAAAAGGATCGGAGGGATTTCCTTTGGTGAAAGCGATCACTCTGTGTCTGCATTTTTTCTTCCTTTTTGCTCAGTCTTTCCATGTGAGATGAGGCCTCCACATTGCTAGACAACCACACGTAGTAGAAAAGAAGTGCTATGCTGCCGATTTAATGGGAAAGTCACATTTTTAATATGCAAAAATAAAATTGTGGTCTTCTTTAAGAATAAAATCTACCCCTTCATCACACTTGGATTCAATCAAAGCTCAGTGATTCAAGCACACTCTAGATGTCTGTATTTACTGAAGAAAAGCAGGTTTTCTTAGCATCAGCCCACCTGAACTAAGATCTAAGTTAGGTCAAAGAACTAACATCGACTGGACACAGCTCTCAAAGCCAGCTCAAAGTTAAGGGAGATGAATGCCCCTCAATTGAAGGTGCAAAATAAAATAATTTTATAAGTTCAGAGCATCTTCTGACAGCCCTAAAGTTTGGGGTTGGGGTCTTCTGAGAACAAAGGCATGGGAAATAAATTACAAGGATCAGTGAAGACTTGGATAGTGTTCTTCATCCTGCAGAGACTTAGAGGCTCAGTGGATTTACTGTATCCAATAAAAAGTGAAAGCCCACAAAGACACTAAGAAGAGATATCTAATGCTCTTTAATTGATGCTCTTTAATCAAGCAAGAAAAGGCTGTAATCTCAGAGTAGAAGCTAAAGCTGGACATATGCAACTTATATCTTTCACCATCCAGACAAATACATTTTGGAGCAAAAGACTCAGTGACAGGGATTAACTTTTTTTTCCCCTGAAATCTCTAAATCATGTTCATTTTTCTTTGACTTGTGCTTGCTCAAGAGGAATGGCTGCATTAGCTCTAGAAAAGACCTAGCAGTTACCTCCATTGTGTGCCTCTAACATGTTCCTTGATGCTGAATTCTTCATTGGAGAAACTGTTTTTTTTTTTTTTTTTTCTGGTGAGGATTATTCTGGAGAAGATCCTTGCAATATAGCCTACTATAAAACTTCTGCTGTCACTAGCTTTGCACTGACCCAACAATGTAAGATCTCAGGATGGCCTTGAGGCGAGTGTCCCTGTGATCACAGGTGTCCCATGGACCAGGGCCTCATGCCCAACCTGCCTGAGCTCAGCGCTGGGGACACCCAACATGGCCAAGAGCTGCCAACCCGGGCAGGCACTGCCCAGCAAACACCAGATCTGTGTGTGCCCAGGGTGCTGGGCAGCTCTGCCACTGGTGCTGGGGACTGGGGAGGAGGGAGGAAGTCATGAGCAGAAGGAAGGGTGAAGATACCCCCGGGTGGTCCCAAAAGTAAGGAGGAAGAAAACCCACCATCAGCATCACACTCCTCCCAGAAAAGAGCTCAGGGTGGTGACAACTTGCAGTGACAACCCCACCTTTCTGCTGGAGGAAGACTGTCAGCTTTGACTTACAGCTCAGAGGGATGTTGGAAGGATGGACATCACTCCAGGGAAAAGGGGCAGATACTAGGAAGTATTTTGTCTAACAGAACACAGTAAATTGCCCATATCTACCGTCTTCACATTCCCAGGCATGTTAATGACACAAGGTTCACGCTTGTCTTCCAGCGCTCCTGAACCTCACCTAATCCAAGCAACGGTAGAGGACTGGCACTGTCAGCCTACCCTGAAACAACTGCAGATGCTTTCATAGAACAGGCAAAAAATTTGTGGAGCTGCAGATACTCTGAGCACGGGGCAGGGTGCAATGGAAGTAACTCTGAAGCAGCCATCTTTGCAAACATGCTTTGCAAGGAGATGCTTCAGCCACAAACCTTGCTGTGTTAGGGGGTACAACTGGTCAGTTTTCAACAGAATTACCCTGCTGGGTTGCAAGAATTGTCCCAGAGGGTCAGCACGCCCATCACTGGCTTCTTTTGTCTAAATCCCCTTTTGCTAGAAGAGGCTGGACAAGCCCGTGGCATGCTTACTGCAGGGGGGTTGGACAAGGTGACCTCCATGGTCCCTTCCAATTCAAACTATTCTATGATTCTATGATTCTGTGATTCTATGTGGTCAGGACACTCACCAGTGTCTTGTAATCAATCTGCTGTCGGATAAGCTTGTCCTCACTCAGTGAGTACCGGGCCTCCCCCGTGATGGAGTCGATGGGGCCCTTTTCCATCTGCTGCTTGATGGCACAGAAGAGGGAGAACAGAGGTTCGCCAGCACACTCCTGCAGGGGTGAGAGACAACCATCAGGTGAAACAGGAGGATCAGAGGTGAGAACCCAACCTACGTAGCATCTCACCAACTGCCATGGCTTGCCATCCGCAGCCACCCAAGGCAGATGCATCAGTGGGAACCAGCCTATTGGCCAGGCTGGATGAGGCTTTGGGCAACCTGGTCTAGTGGAGGGTGTCCCTGCCCATGGCAGGGGGTTGGAACTTGATGATCTTTAAGGTCCTTTCCAACCCAAACCATTCTGTGATTCCATGATTCTATGATTCTATCCCATACAGCCCAGGAATAGAGGTCACTCTCCACTTCTACAGAGTGCAACCAGTCCTTCTCGAGTGTCCCATCACAGGACTAGGGGGTCAGTGCTCCCTGGCAATGTTGGAGCTAGCAGAGCCTTGTAGGAACTGTTCAAGTGATTGTCACCATGCACTGGAGCAGGTGGTGGGATGGATCCCAGAGGACCTGGAGACAGGTCTGAAAGGGAGATGGTCTGCTGCTGCCGTATCCTGGGTGTCTGGGCTGAGCCCACAGTCTCCCTGGGCACTCTCATGCTGGAGGTAAATAGGGATGCTCAGGCAGGAGCAGCTCCATCACCCAGGGGAGACGTGTCCCTGGATCTGTACAGTTGCACCAGCGATGTCAGACATGTGGGGCCCAGCACAAGACACCAACAAGGAGTCCACAGGCAGGGTCAGCACAGCACCACTGTCCCCAATTTCTCCTTCCCATCATTTATACTCACTGCATTTCTCTTCCCACACTTTTCCTGGCCTCTCCTCCCTCGCCGCCCTCCCTCCACACATTCTCTTCTATGCACCCCTCATTGTGCTTTCTTCTGTTGCTTCCCTTCCCTTTCATCTCTCCATCCTTCCTCCCACCCCTCCTCCCCACCTTGCCCTCCCCTCTTGCGGTGTGTCCCAACTCAATGAGCGAGGTCATCTTCCTCCGGTGTAAATCCCGGCGAAAACAAGTTAATAATCTGAAGCAAAGTGGCCCCTTTCCTCAGTTCCTCCACCTGTCTCCCACTTAATTAGCTTATCTGCCAGCAGCATATTGCTTCTGTGTGCCTGTCTCTTGCCCTTATCAGGCCTCCGTTCAGGCTAAGGCAAGAAGACAAGTAGCTGAGTGGGGGGAAAAAAGCCTATTACAAAAGCAGAGCTTTAGAGAGTCACCTCCTTATATCCTTTGCTTTCAGCTGAAAAGCAGGAATCTGATACTGAAGTCACTGAAATTACCTTCCAGGGACCTTCAAAACTTTTCCATGAGTTTATCCTTGGACAGGTTGTGCCTGGGGAAGGCTTAGGGGAATGGGACTGATCTGGAAAGCCTTGAATTGCCAGGCAGAGGGTGGCTATTCTGTCCAAACGGGGCTGGAAGGTGTAAGGATATCTAGCAACTGCTTTGGGAGCAGGTGAGAGGTGCAGAGCTCAGCTCCTTCGAAAAAAGTTGACTCTGAGTTGGGTGCTTTGGCAATTAGCATCCTTGAGGCTCAATGTGGGTCCCCAAGAGGAAACTGCCATCACCCATCATTCAGTGGCAGGTCTCAAAGACTGAAAAATTTTTTTTGTTTTTTTCCCTATACACCACCCCAAGGAGACCCTCCAGGAGGAATTAGAGGGTTCAGGGAGTGTCCAAAGTCTTTTTTGCTGATAGGTGTCCTGCAAAGCCAATGCTACCTCCAACTGGGATAAAAAGCAGCAACAGCCTCAGCCTGTGCTGGGTTCTGGATGCAGCAGTCAGGTTCACATGGTGTATTGCGTCCAGCCCTCTCCTCTCAGAGGCTGCATGGCCGTGGCCAGGACAGGCTTGAGGCAGCCTCATGCCAAGAAGAGCTTGGGCTTGGCCTTAAAGGCATCAGTATGACAGAGGGACTGGGTATGATGGAGGCACTGGGACTCAGAACTGTCTCTGAACTGGGGTGGTAGATCTCCAGTAATGGAAAATATGGTTCACCATGTGACAGGGATCCCAGTCTGCTAGCAAAAGGAGAGCATTTTCAATACAGGTCTCCACCACGCTCTGAAATCCTTTATGTTTCAGCACTGACCCTTAGATCTCACCTCTGTACCGGAGTAAGACCAACAGGCTGCCTCTCGAGCAAAGTGTTCCTCCTTGTTCTCCCATTAGGTAATGGTTAAAAAAAAAGCCTTTATATCTGTGAAGATTTTGCCCCAATTAAACCTCATCAAGAGGAAATGTACTAAAGCAGCTGTTCATCCAGGGCTGGTGCTTCTCTTACCTTGAGGAACTTGTAGAGAAGGAAGGTGAACCAGTTGGTGAGCATTTTCTCAGCCACAGACTCTGTCCTAAAATCATCCAGGGAGAAAAAGCAAATTGGAAATGAGTTAGTCATGGTGGTCATATCAAAGGGCTAGTCAAAAGACTGGCTTTGTCCATCTTACTGCCCAGACATCTGAGCCCCATGGAAAGTCTGGCATGACACCATCAGGATTCAGCATGTCCTAGGTTCTGTATTTTAGCTTTGGATTTAGGAAACCTGCAGGGAAATCCTTACTGTGACTAGGGAAGTCCCTGTACGTCTGTTTCTCAGTTTCTCCATCAGTGAAATGGAGATGACAACAGTTGAGGGAACCTTCTCAGAGGAGCTCAGGAAGGATAAATCCATCAAATATGAGGACCTCAGAGTCAGGCCATATGACAAGTAGGCTATATAAATACTTGAGAAACACCGATCTAAATCACCAGAGAATAGTTATCTGGCACTGATTATCTCCCTGGTATTTGGGAGTGATTATACGCCCCAACGTGTCAACGTGGTGCATTCACAGAGCTCATCATTTGCCCTTGAGCACTCTGTCCTCAACCAAACAAAAATCCATCTTGAGTCTTCAGGACGAACTTTTCCTACAGAAGGACTGACACAGACTTGTAAATGTGGTAGGGACACCAGGCGCACAAGATAAACCTGTGTTGGCTCCAGCATATGCACTGGTGTTTCTCAAGAAGAAAGAAAGTGTCTATGCTTGGATGAAGGTCATGTTGGATGAGGCTTTGAGCAATGTGGTCTAGTGGAAGGTGTCCCTGCTCATGTCAGGGGGGTTGGAACTAGATGATCTTTAAGGTCCCTTTGAACCCAAACCATTCTATGATTCTATGAATTGAAGTGGATCTTCCTTGTCCTGGTTACCACCAAAGCCACGCAGGGGTTCTCACTTAGGACACCACCTTGCCTTTTAGGTTCTCTAGTCTTTCAGCATAACACTGATCTTACTTTCTCTGGAGCATAAGACTTGCAAGGGGAAGGGTTTCCATCACTGGAGCTGTATACGTGGAGCTGGTCAACAACCTTGCCTAGAAGCAGAACCCTGTTACACCACAAGTGATGGTCCCTTCTCTAGCTAAATGCAGTTGATCTTTAGCCTGGTTTCCATAAGGATTTCTCTGTTCTTGTGGGCAAATCTCACTTAGATGGTGGGTATGGTGGGAGGATGAATGACAATACGGGTGTTTTCTGGCATGCCTCTTTTCTTGCCTGCAACTAAAGAAAGAAGTGATACGGTCCCAGTTTGCTACCAGATTAATGTTGTTTCCTTGGTCTACAATGATCACTGCTGTGTCTCTGCCTAGAGACTGCCTCTGTCCAAACCAGCCTGTTTGCCCTGTATTCCCCTCGATCAATGTCACCTGGCTGGTGTTCTCCACTGGTCATGGTAGGATATTCAAGTCCAGCAGTCCCCATGATTATAATGGTCTGAGCTCTTTGCAGTGAATGTCACCCAGAAGAGTGCTCTTTCCGACACTCCCCAATGCGACATCTGGGACCCATCACACGGTACAAACTTGGCATTACAATGTGAAAAAGAATTGAAATCCTGTTGTGTTGTTGGTCTCTGCCCGGACAACTTTGATTTCTTTGAGGCTGTAGATGTCATGTGGGATGAACACTAGACACAGCCAACGTGCGAAAATCATTCCAGCCAGCTCTTTCCTCCTGTCAAATAGCCCCAAAACCCAACAGTGCAGAAGGATGTTGGAGGGTTCCCTTCCATCCACAGAGTCACTGGGAGAGAGGGGAAGCATTAAAGTGAATTCAACTGCTCCAAATAATTGTCTGGGGACCTCACACCAACATCTGAATCCCAAGGCACTGAGCTAATCACATGCTCATCAGTAGACTCTATTCTGGTGCTGCTCAGTGCAAGACCTCCATCTCAGAGCACGAAACACACCTCTGACTCCTCCTTGTGTTTTCAGAGCTTGGGACAGTGGAGGCATCTTCTTTGTTCACTGGCTGTGCTCCAAAGGCCACATTTAATTTCTAACAGAGGACTAGAGCTAGAAAAGAGATGGGAGAAGACGAAAGAGGAAAGATGGGATGCACAGGACAAGACAGGAATGAACAACCAGGGAAGATAAAGAGATGGAGAAAAAGGAAGAAAAAGGAGAAAATTAAGGGAAGAGACAGTTGGAAGGAGGCAGTGCCATCCAGTATCAGAGGAGAAACACAGAGAGGAAGCCTGGAGACAGCTGAGGAGAGGTCACCAGCCAGGCTGTAGGGCTTGAATCACATCAGGGAGTCAAATGACACCAAAGCAAAGTCCAGTCTTTGCCCCTGGCATTGCTGCCCTGAATGCCAGGAAGTGCCTTCTGTCCCCTTTTTTTGGTGGTTCTACATAGCTGACTGTGTGCCAGACGAAAACACTCCCAGCAGGCATCACCGATCTCTTCCCTGCCCAAGTCATCCATCGTAATCAGCTGAGGACTTCTCAAAGTTGGCTCTGAGCAGCAGCAAAGGCCATCCATCTCCAGCAGACTACCCCTGATTTTACTTAGGGCCCTGGCTTAAATCAGAATGGTTGGTTCAAACCGTGAAAAGCAGATTAATATGATCCTAAAGGGAGAAGAGGCAGCATTTCCCTAGGCAGGGAATTAATTACAGAGCAGTAGACTTCTAATTTGAGGGTTCCCACACAATCCCGGTGGTTAGACCTTAGACCTGGCCAAGAAGCACCAACTCAAACTTGTGTCCTGTAGGAAACTAGTTCTGTTGTCCTGCTCAGCTCTGCTACTGGCTTCAACAAGCTCCCAGCACCATTGCTCAGGGACGGAAAGATCTCACAACGCAGCTGAAGAAGACTCTCCATAGTTAACTCATGAAAAAGAAACACAGCAGGGCAGTCCATGGCCCAGGTAGCAGAAGGCAGCAGCTGACTTACTCACTAAATATATAATACAGCCTTTTTCATGTGATATATTTGTAGGTCCTATACAACGCAATTGGAGTTTTCAGGTTAAAAGCAAACGTAAGCATAAATGAATTTCTTAAAGACACAAAGAGTGAAAAATAAGGATTAGGAAGCATGGGGTCTTGCTGCCTTTATGAAGCTTTCTGGAAGATCCATGTCAAAATCCAGAGTTAGTTCAGTTCTGGAACTTTTAATCACTGACTACTTTTGGTTAGGGAGGAGAGAGCTGAGGTAGTTTGCCCTGGGAAAAAGAAGGCTCCAGGGAGACCTTCGAGCACCTTCCAGTGCTGAAAGGGGGCTACAGGAGAGATGGGGGGGCTCTGGATCAGGGGGTGGAGGGATAGGAGGAGGGGTAATGGCTTTAAGCTGAAAGAGGGGAGATTTAGATGAGATATTAAGAAGAAATATTTTCTGGTGAGGCAGTGGCCCAGGTTGCCCAGAGAAGCTGTGGATGTCCCATCCCTGGAGGGGTTGAAGGCCAGGCTGGATGAGGCTTTGGGCAACCTGGGCTAGTGGGAGGTGTCCCTGCCCATGGCAGGGGGGAGGAACTCAATGATCTTTAAGGTCCCTTCCAACCCAAACCATTCTATGATTCTATGACTCCATGAGATGGAGCAAGATCTACAGACACCCTTGCTGAAAGGGAAGGAAATGCAGAGAGTATGGTGGGAGGAGGAGGAGAGTCCCCTGAGAGAAGAAATGCTCCGTCAGGAAGTCTTGACTGAGCTGGAAACCAGAAAAGGAGAGCAATTCAGCCCTACTTGCCTTATTCACCCCTCCCTGCAAACAGCTTCATGCCAGCCCTACAGGGTCATGTGAACTGTGTCTGTACAACATCCTGATTTCACACTTTGCTGCTCAATAAAAATCAAGCAGAGTTGCCCCTTTCCTCCAAATATGACTGGCATGCTTACGTTAGGCAGTAGGGCACAGGCTGCCCAGCCCAGCTCACTCCAGCCCCAGCCATCCTTACCTGCGGAGTAGCAGCTTGGGGTGGTTCTTGCTTTCCAGATTTTTGTCTATGAGGTCGGCCAGGAGCTGCTTGAGGACATCAGTAGCGTACTCCAGCTTGCTCTGCAGCACCGTCATGATCAGCGAGGCCACGTTACCGCGGTCCCGCATGGAGAAGCTGCGCTGGGACTCCAGTGTGCGGATGAAGGACAGAAGGAAAACCTTGTTGTTGATGAGCTGGGCAAAGAGCTTCAGGCCTTTCTCCACCCGTTCCTGCCTGTATCCAGGGACCTGAACAAGAAGAAAGGGAGTTTGTGCCTTTCAGTCACCACCCGCTGCGAGACCTCTGCCGAATGGACCCTTTGCTACCCCTCTGCCCTCATCACTCCAACTCCTCCAACTGTACACTTTGACACCAAGCAGAAGTCAGTTCTGAGACAAGGAAAAGGAAAAAGTTGCTTCTAACAGTAGAAACAATTAAAAAGAATGCAAAAAAAGGTCTTGCACCTAGCAGGCAGGTGAGTCCTTCCCTCTGCTTCACAGCATAGTCCTGTAAAAAGGAAGACAGTCCATACCTCATCTGAGAGACTGATCAAGCCTGAGAGACTTCCTAGCCACAGCCAGGTGATTATTTTCCAACACCGTGTTTCCCTTCCTGGACAGAACATCAAGAAGAGATTTCTAGTGCCTAGATGTGATACCATACCATGTTGTATTTTTATTGTAGTCAGACTGAAGTCTCACTCTATCTCCACCTAGCACCAATTTTTCCTCTCTGCAAGAAACTTGTTCACAGAGACTTGGAGGTAAGCTGTGAGAGGCAGCAAGAAATTGAATGAGGAAGAGAGACAGGGGACCAGGATTTGAGCAGACGAAGAGATGCGGTGAGGCAGTGTCTGAGATGACAAGCACGCAGATGGGTCTTGGTTTGAAGAACCCTGACCTGGGACCCATCTTGGAGGTCCTGCTGGAGTAGGACCCCCAGGCTTGGGAGGTGAGATGGTCTGGAGACAGAGAGGTTGATAACTCTCTAATATATGTCTCAGCTATGACAGGCTGGTGAACTAGTTTTTATATGGAACAATTTTTGGGACATCAACACTGGACCCTGTCCTCCACAGTTGACAATGGGCTTCATCCTTTCCCATCCTTCTGGCTCTATGCAAAAATGGAGCCTAAATAGAGAACCTCACACTCATTCCTCCATGATGCTGAAGCTGCTCCAGCCCTTGAAAAACCTTCCCTGGAAGCTGGGGGGTCTCAACACAGAGTAACACACGTCACTGAGGCATGTGTGTATTAATAACCAAAGAAATTTGGCACTTTAATCCAAAACAAGTTGGCATGCTTAAACAACCAAGTAATGCAAGGCCCCTTAAAGAGTTTTGCTTTTCATTATGGAAATTAGGGCTCTTAACTCTTTTTGCATACAGCAAATAAACTACTTAGTAAATAGCTTGAGACAACCAACCAACCAACCACTACCACCCATCCCACCAATAATTATTTTTAACTCACTTGCTTGAACATTTAATATCGTCTATCCCCGGGTTATTATGGAGAATTAAAAAAAAAAAAAAAAGTATTTTGTACTGCATCTGGAAGCAGTTAACTAGCAAATGAACTGGAAATAAGCAAGATCTGCTCACTGCAAGATCTATGCTGGGACTTTTTGTAACAAATAGCAAATCTTTCTAGGTGCTACAGAGACTGGAGCAGAATGGGAACTGCTTTCCCTGGTATGCTGGTAGCCAAAGATGTTTACACTGAAAGAGCTGTTGAGCTGTTGAAGCTTTACAGAGGATTAAGAAAAAAAAAAAAAAAAAAAAGATGAATGAAACGAAAGGAAGAAAAGATCAAAGGTGGCAGGCTGAAACATTAGTTCTGTGTCTCTCTGTATGTATCTACATAAGGGAGCATCCATGCTAAAACCTCTGTAGGGGTCAGATGCTGTTCTGTGGTCAGCGGGCTGAGGTTAATGAATATAGGGATTGAAATTGGCTGTGGGTAAAATGGAAATGTTTGTGTGTGTGTATACATATGTGAGAGAGAGATTCATCACTCCTCGTCTCTTGTGCTCATTTGTTGAAGCTGCTGAGCTACTCTTCCTGAGGGAAAGCAGCTTGAGGCCACTCTACCTGCACCCCGAAGGCAAATATCTACAGCAGTCGATGTGTAACTCAGTCTCCCACCCAACCCCACAAGTCCTCCTTGATGACAGATCAGGTTTTTAAATTGTTCTCTCCGTACAGTTTGATGAATTTTGGCTCTCCTGAAGGGAAGGAGCAAAGACGAGCAGGCACCTCTGATGACACAGCCAGCCAAGCGTGGTACTGCCTGTGCCAGCTCCTGCTCATCCTTTCTGCCAACTAACCTCAGTCTTGGCCTCCAGCAACCTCACCAGCCCATGCCAGAGCCTCTCTGAAGCTCAGAGCTTGCCAAAGGCTTTGCAGAGGGCTCAGCCAATGACCTCCCTGGCCTTGGCCATGGTGTATCTCCTGGCCCAGGTATCCAGAGCAGAGCCTGTCTATCTGCCAAAGCCTGAAGCAGTTTTTCAGCATGGGCAGACCTCACCCAGGGTCCCACCAAACTCACTGTCACCAGTGAGGTGATGCAGGGTGTGTGTAGACCCCAACAATGCTGGACAACATCTCGCTGTCCTCCCACCACTGTGGTCCAGAGAGTTGGGGTGGAGGAGGCAGATGTGAGCAGGGTATGGGCAGACTGATGCTGTGGTTTTCTGACCTCACTGCAAACCACAGAGAACAGCGAAGGCAAACCTCCTTCAGTGACTGCAGGTTACTTCTGTAGGTATTGCCAAAAAGAAAAAAAAGGCCTCTAGGTAGTTTGAGTGTCATGCAAAGCTGGAGTGACACAGATAAATGCTCTGCCACACAATTCTTTTTTCCTGGCCCCTGCACAGCAGTAGCTGTCTCAAAAACAAAACCCAGCAGGATGAAGACCAAGGAGAAGCTAAATAGAGTAGACCTAATGCACATAGATCTATGAGACTCTTCCAAAGAGATGAGTGATCAAACAGAAATTAACATCTAAGATATCAAATCTGGATTTTTAACGAGGTGCTGTTTCATCCCTGGTAGGACACAGCGTTGTAAACCATCATGTCCCCACCACTGACACAACATCTGTTACATTCCGGATGGAACAAGGAGGAATGAGAGGAGCTAGAAGCAGGAGATGTTGATTTCTTACCTCCAGATCCCTCAGGACTGGATGATCTTCAATGCCAGGGAAAAGCACCCTCATGGTATAGGTTCGGTAATCAAGGAAAGGGATCCCGGCTCCATCCAGATCGCTTGTCAGCTCGTGGATATCTGTCTGTAGCTCTGCAAAGGCTGACACAAAAAAGGAAAGACTCATGTAGCAATAACAGTCCAGATCTCCTTCACCAGGATGGGAAAGGTCCCCAGACCCATGTGCATGAGACTAAGGCATAAGTGGAGAAGCAATATGTGGAGAGGAAGAACAAGGTGGACAGGAGCAGTCTCACCTTTCCTACAACACAGCCTCGCCCCAGGGACACGTGTCAAGGCTCTCTCTGGGTTATGATTTAGCAATACAGTTTGGAAAGGGTGGAGGAAGACTGGACTTAGAGAAAATAGGCAAAGTCAGATTAGATCCAGGCTTGAGCCAGACTCACAGGGTTCAACACTCCTGTTGGTAATATTTAGGCTCAAAACTTTGTGGGTAGATCTCTCTCTTCTACCAGCACTAACACAGTGCCAGCCTTCCTTCCTCATCCTACCTTCTTTGCACTCCAGTGCCACCCTGGACTCCAGGTTGTCCATCTGCATCTGCAGACGTTTGAGGGTGAGGTCACTTTCTCTGGATTTGCGCTTGTACGCAATCAACACAGCCACGATGAAGATGATGAGCAGGCCACCAGCCACCGCAATGCTGACAATAGCTGGCAAGCTGAGAGGGCTGTCTGGAGAGATGTAGACCATCCCTGGGGAGAACTCCATCCCTCCTACACGAGCCTAGAGGGAAGGCAGGAAAGAGTTGCACTGAAACTATCAAAACGAAGGAACATAGAGGAACAACATCATCTCCCTGACTAAGGCTGACTGGTGACCTCCCCTTGCCTCCCAAGCTAAACGGATCATGAAGTACTTGGATAGGGAACAGCTTTAAAACACCTGAAATCATAGAATCACAGAATGGTTTGGGTTGGAAAGGACCTTAAAGGTCATCTAGTTCCAACCCCCTGCCATGGGCAGGGACACCTTCCACTAGACCAGGTTGCTCAAAGCCTCAAATGTCATTATAGAAGCACCTTTGTTGACAGAGTGACCATGAACCCAACCAACAAAGGACTTCTGGTTGGACAAATCTCACCAGTCCCAACACCCCGGGCTACATGTCAGTTTGGGCTTCATTCTGCGTTTTCCATTCCCTGTCCTGAACTGCTGTGTTATGCTGGACTACCCTGATGACACTTCGTCCCAAAATGCACAGAGGACACACAGCTCGTGGTTATTGTGTGATGGGTCCTAACCACCTAATGGGACATGGGACATCTGACCCAGGCAGCTGGCACTGCAACACTCAGTACAGTGGGAATGCAGAAATCAGAGCCACAATTTGCTTTTGTCTCTTCAACTGGAGAAAAGTGTATCTGGAAGCCACTGGGATAGAAAAAAAAACCCACAAAAACCACAGAGCCTGGACCATGCTCTTCACAACCCCTTATAGCCACACGTTGGCAGGGTGACTGCAGATGCTCACCAGTGGGTCAATGAGCTGAGCACAGCTTTCTGCTCTCCATCCCAGAGGTTCCTGAGGCTGCTGCCAGCCTCTGGAACAAGCTGCTGTACAAGGACTTTGCTTTTTAACATCCAGAAAGAAACCCTGCAAGTGGCACTGCTGCAAGCCCAACAAAATGCTCTGCTGAAGCAAGTCTGTTAGGACACCACTTTTACAACATGAACACTGCTCCCAACGGTAATCCCACGGGGTGCTACTTGCTCATTTGTAGGGTATTTGTAGGGTAGGATAAGTTTGAGTGGAAAGGGAAAAAGAATTGCTGACTAGCCAGAGCTATAAAAAGAAGGCTTCTTTTTGCATATTCTTCTCTAGGTTGCAGGAGAAAGAAGCTGGCCCAAGGAGGAAGGGTTGGAGCCAGCAGAAGATACTTCAGAGAAGGCAGTCATGAGTCAATGTAAAGTTTCCAAGCTGATCTCGCTCCTTACCACCACAGCCCTTGGGGACATGAATCTCTGTGCCTCCCCCATCTCCTAGAAATTATGCTGGGCCTAGACACAACCTCTGAGAAGATGTCTGTTTTGATCTAGCCCAAGATGTAGGCTGGTCCTCAGTGGATCCTGCCAAAGTCACCTACCTGGAACCATTATGTCTTTGTCAGGACAAAGCTGAATGTCTGGAAACATGACCTGAATACTCCTAAGCATTTGGCCTGGGCTCTAGAAAGATAACAACGTCCACACTGAGAAACAAAACCAAAACTAACCTCATCTGGACAGGTAATAAGAGTTTCAAGGTGACCATTATAGCATGACATCGATGACTTGTAGAGCATCTTCAGTGGCCAAGGAGCAACCTAACACCCACGTAAGTTGAGGATGCAGCAGTAGCTAGTTTTCCCATCTATTTCAAGATACAAGACCTAGCTCAAAAGCCTGCATAGGGAAGAATTTTGGTGTTGGTATGTGGCATGCTCAACAAAGAAGCCAACCTGTCAAAGTCACATTCTAGTCTATGCACTGAAAGCTGTTGCCTTTTGCCCTAGACCACTGTCCCAAATCCTTCCAGCAAAGTTTGCTCACCAGCTTGCACAATTTCCTTCCTGTCACAGTGGTTCAATAAATAGATTAATTATATTTCATTGTCTGTTTCTGACAGTGTTCCTTTTCCTCCAAGCCCTGCAGTCAGATGAGTCCATTCAAGGGGTATCAGACTAGAATGAAACATCTCCAACCAAACCCCAGTGCAGGTCCATCCTCAAAACTCACAGAACAGCCCATCTCCATGGGTGGGATTCTTCTCACCAAACATTTGACATGGACATCTGAGTTAGACATGACAGCGTGCTTTCAGAGTCAATACAGAGAAAAAGCACTTTCAGAATGTGATTTATGTGAGCTGCTTTTGACTTCTGCTTTGACATTAAGATGAGATATTTTATTCAGTGGAAGTTCCCCTTTCTCTCCATTAACTATAAGGGGATCCAGACTCCTAGAAGTAGGTGTCTAACAGAATTAGCCCCAGTGTGTTCCTCTGCAAAGGTGGTTTCAACACTGGCAGGATCTCACAGACCATGAATCAAACTGCCGTGATCTGAAGGAATCTGTCTCTTGAAGAAGAAAGCTTGCAAGGCTGCTGTACTATTGTGTGAATTTAAAAGAAAAAAAACTAAGCAAATATGTAGATATAACTGGACTTCATTTCTTGGGCCACTGAGTTTTTTTGAAGGAAGCTATTTATACCTTCCAGAAGGCTGTACATGAGCCCTCCATATTACCAAACAACAGTTTGGCCATCTGTTAAGGCTATTAATCATGAATTTGTTCTAAATGGCATTATGGCAGAGCCCAGTTTTCTCCACCAAAGTCTTAGGGTCCCACCTGCAGCACTTCAAGAGAGTTTCTTTAGTTCTTGTTCTACAAAACTTCACCGTGGTAGTGTCTTTCCTAGTGCAAGTTTTCCCTGGCCAAATGTATCTGCCTTAGGTAAAACAAATTGTTTCCTGAACTTCACTTGCTAAATTTGACCACGTCTCCATTCACTACAAAAAGAATCCAGTGTGACTTTCCATATGTAAGTGCCTCCATCAGATACCACCAATCCTTCAAATATACTCCACTTCTTCATTGCAGACCTTCTCCACCACAGTCACTCATGGATCTTCCTTGTGTCTCTTTCTTTTCCTTAGAAAAGAGCTTGCCTCTGGGTTTTAGTCAATCTTTATTAACCATTGCTGAGATCTTTTAGTTCTTTGTATTTTTTCCAGTATTTAACCTTGTCATTGTATAAAAGCTGAACTAGAGCAAAAACTTGTTGACATCAACGTGTGTCGTTGTCACTGTTCCCTCTCTTAGAAATAATCTCATTGTTGCAAGGGTTGACTCACTCCCATGGTCCCCCCTCAGACCCAGGCCACCTCACTTTGCAAGAAAGGGTTTGTTCAGCAGTTTACTCAAGGTCATGCAGTAAATCGTTGGCAGAAACAGAAGGAGGACCTGGAAGAACTACCTGTCAACTATCCTGACCATCAAAGTGACATTCCTGTGAAACATGGGGATACATTTTGTACCAACCCGAGCAACACAGATGCTGTGCCATGTTGGAGGGGCCATTTCCCAGCCCAGCTGTCCTCCTGGTAAGTTCCAGATGTAAAGTCCCTCCTTGAGCAGTGGCCACCATTGCAGGTGGTGTTCTATATTTGGTTCCCAGCCCAGACGCTGTCAAAGGGTTGCCTCAGTGTTGGCAGTTGAACAAGAAATCTGTAACTTGCCCCCAACAGTGACACTCATTTAACAGGCTTCAATGTGATCATTTTCCCATGTTTCCAGCAGCATCTCTTGTTTGATCAGCGTCCTCAAAAAGGGATTATTTTTTTCTCCGTGGCTTTGCTTAATCTGTCCCAAGCTGCAGGAGCAGCAAAGTCTTCCCAATTAGTAAGACCTGACCAGATGTTCATCCTCTCTGATCCCCAGGGGTTGATTATTGCTCACCTGACTTTGAGTTTTCTCTCTCTAGGATTGGCTTTGTCCATCTCTGACTAACCATATGTTTAATTATATTCATGAAAATGACAGGGAACATATATTGCCTTGTTCAAAAGCTTTGGTATTCACACAGAGAAAATCTCTCACTTCATTATTGCTCCTCTTGGAGTGTCTTAATGCGCTTTACAACGAATTGAGAGCCATGGTATACTTGCATGGCTGGAAAGGATTATTACCTCTATTTTCCAGATGACAAACTTTGGCACAGAGAAGTTAAGTAGCCAGTGTGACGTCTCCCAGCAGCAAGTCACAAATGAGACCCGAAATGGTCACCGTAAACTCTACTTTCTAAAAGTCCCCAAAAAACCCTCTTTTTAAAGAGCCATGCAGTGCATCTCCATCAACCTCTATGAGCCTCACTGAACTGAAATAAAGAACTATGTGACAGATGATATATCTTCGGGAAGGTAACAGAGAGGTGGAAAAACGTTGATCACAAGGAATGAGAAACATTGATCATCTGTATGTCTGATGTCGGTTGTTAGTGTTTGTTGTGTTTCCACCCATAGCTCGATACAACTCCAATGGGTTCGCTGATGTGCTGTTTATCGAGCAACAAAGTATGTCATGTAGAAAACATGTTAAATATATGAACTCATATGAGCATCTAGGGTTCATATAGCCCTTAGAAAACCAGAAGAGAGGCAAACTTTCCTAAAGGGTTTTGATTATGAAAGGTTCCCCACTGTCCATAAAGACCTCCAGGATACTCTTCTACTTCTCCAAGTTACTCTTGGTGGGGATATTATATAAAGAATGGGCCTTGATATTTACGGGATCTACGGAAGGCAAATGCTGATGTAAACTCCTGAGATCTCTTCACATTGGTGTGCCCTTCCAGCCCACCCAGGGAGGAAAGGCTGGTGCTGGTCAAGCACCACTTACCATCACCTTGTGCCGTCCAGTGAGGTTTGGGGACTCACACAGCAGCTGCACATCTGATACAGTCACCGCACAGGGCTTCTCACCAACCAAAACGGTGTAGTTCAGCTTGGCGTTCCCTCCCGCCACTGGTGGGATCAGGTTCTTGCCCTGGATAGAAAGGAATATCACCCCACAAAGAAAGAAACACGTCAGGAAAGAGTTTGCCTTCCACCTCTTGTTTGTTCCTGTGACACAAGTGTTAACATTGCACTTGACATTTGTGGTTCACCATTTGCTAACACAGAGGGGAAAAGCCAATTAAAAAAGTCATGCAGAGGACAGCATGGATGGCTAGAGACTGTAATCAGCCAAAACAGCTTCTCCTGCTCCTCTTTCACTGGAACTAAATGAGAAACATTTCATATAAGTCTTGCACAAACAGGCCCTCACAAAACATATTCAGGCAAGTAAGATGGACCCCTTTCCAAACATGCAAGAAGGTATTCTGCAGGCACAATCATTTCTTTGCGTGTACACCAAATATAAGCACTGATACGGAAATGTTCGATCATAAAATTCCTTCTCTGTATTGCTGTCCAGATTACAGAAAAGACAAAGGACTGGGGTAGGATTTAACCAGGGCTGAGAGGAAGGTCTTGAAAACCCAAGAAAGAAATAGACGTGGGTATTTAATTGCCCGCCCTGTTGTGGTGATAGAAAATATTCTTCTCTGGTGAACACCGGTGGGTACAAATTTAGGCTGTACACAGGTAGCTGCAGCACAAGTTTATATTTTTTTAGTTATGGGTGTTGGCAGATGCTGAGCAGCGATTCATGTTTGCAGATGGTGACTCTGATACGATGCAATATGGTAGGGGCAATGAGTGCAGGAGATGTCTGGAATGAAATCAGGGTGCCACTGTGATTTGTGGGGTGCTGGCAGACACAGAGAGGCAACAGGCAGCATATGTTTGTCCTTCTTCATCCGGTCCTCGGTCCCCATCTCACCTTCAGTATGATCGGACTTCCCGGCTTCAGCTCCAGGATCCCCGAGGGATTGAAAACCTCAAAGATGGGGTTTGGGTAGTAGGTGAAGTTGGTTTTGTTGAGAATCAGCAGAGACTGCACATTGTCAAGAATGAAGCCAAACTCCTCTGGACGCTCGGCGAGCTCAGAGTGGTGATTAGGGTCTACAGCCAACGCCGGAGCCTGGCAGGTCATCTCCGTGCTGTTCTGCACCTCGCAGTTCTAGAGAAAGAAACCCAGCACAAGGAGTGTTTATGGAAAATGTCCACAGCCCTCCTGGGGGGCAGATACCTCCCAGTGAAATGCCAGCCTACCTACTGCCAGAGGAGAGGGAGGAACAGACCTCCCTGGTTATCATGAGATAGGCTGGTGCTCCACTGCTTCAGAACATACCCCATACCCACCACGCAACCAAGGCTGGGGAAGGATTAGGAGAGCTTTGCTGGATGTATGGAGCAGTTTGCACTGCAACTGGGTGGTGCCTCTGCCCTGAGGGAGCTCAGCCTCTGGGGTTGCCAGTGTCAGTATTTTCCCCTAATCTCACTTTCTTCTGGAAATAGAAAGTTATTCCTGGGTTTTTATGTGGTGCTTTGGGTTTTGTTTGTTTGGTATTTTGGGGTTTTTTGGGGGTTTTTTTGTATAGTAGAGACTAGTCAGAATCTCACTACCACCCTGGAATTAGCTTTCACACTCTGAGGATCACTCCAAAAGTGTATGTGCAGTGCATGCTCAGTTGTGCCCAAGATTCCTATTTGAACATGAAGTTACCCGAAGCGAAGCCCAGGAGGCTGGAGTGGTGAAGACAACGGAGTAGGTCTCAGAAGACCCTGAAATTTGGTTCCAGCCCTGCCAAAGACTTGTTTCTTTGTGTATTTGAGAAATGAGCGACAGATTGTGAAAGGCATTTTATCCCAACTCTCTTTTTGAATGACTAGGAATTAGATGTCTGGCTGTCCTTCAGGATCTGAACCTTCATCTTTCTACGTCACGGTCTCACCAGGAACCAAAAAGCTTTGTGGGGAAACAGCACCAGCTCTGTGGGATCCCCGCTGTGCTTGATATGAGAATCTTCTCCAAACTAGTCTGATACCTCCAGCACTGAGAGCACACTCATTATCACAGCTAGCATAGCTCAGGTGTTAATATTGCTTTGGCTCACATCAATAGAGAGACAAATGACCTGGACCAACCAGACTCATATCGGAAAGTGAGTCAGATGTTCTTTGCTGTAACAGCTCTTACAAGGAAGAAGAGGCATTGGAGCACTTCCCAACGCAAAACTGATGGGCAGTTGTACATGAGCACATTTGAGATGATGAATAGGCTCCATCATCTGCACAACGGCATGATTGTGTGAGACCACTGTGTCAGGCAAGAGCTGGAGTCTGCTGGAAGAATAAGATGAAGCCATGAAGGCTTTTAATTCTGCAGGAAAGGTAAGTGTTGGGCTGTACTGTACCAGGAAATGCAACACATTACCAAAACATATCTGTGAACACGCATAATAAGTTGGACCAGGGTTTCACCAGAGCTCATGAGGGACTGGAAGGTTGCCAGTCAAAATCCCCATCAGACCCAGCAACCAATCTCAACAGATATTTCCTGAATCTGGTGAGGTGTGAGAGGTGAAAAAATTGCTTTGGATTTGGCTTTATGAAGGGAGATATTAGTTCATGGCAGAGCTGGGAGAAGACCCAAATTTAGGTGTCTCAACCTGCAGACTGCAGATGCAAACAAATCTGCTCCATACTCACGTATTTTCTTTTTGGATCTACCACAATTTCACCATTGCTTATATGGTAGTAGATTATTTTAATATCCTCAAAGTGCTTTGAGAACCTTGGATGGAAATCCCATTAATTAATCTTAAAACGTGAGAAATGCAGAGGCTCTGGACTTTCTGCTCCCACTATAATTAGTCCCTCTGTACTTTTAACTTTTGTAGCCTCTTCTTCTGGGATGCTCTTTCACATTCTGTCCCAGGAAGTGCCCATATGCAGCCAAAGCCTTTTCAGATGCTGTTGCATGGCCCTATCCACCAACATACTGCAGGTATCAGCAGGTGCTTCCTGCTCCTGAGTCTCCTAATTGGAGGTGCTAAACTCACACCTTTTACAGCTCTATCAGGAGCTGCTCAGCAGATATTGGTAATTGCTTCCTTCCAAGTGAATTGTCCTCCCAGGCTTTGGTAGAGTCTTGCTGGCCTCCACAGAGCTGCTTCTGACTCCTCAGTGGTCACTGGGAGTTGAATTAGGCTGTAAATCTATCTGGTTAAACCTGGATACACTCTTAAACCTGGATACACTCTTCAAAACCCCAGATATTCCAGAGAGTGGGCACAGTAGCACCAAAGAGTATTATTCACAGTCCCTTCTGATCCCAGCATGCTCAGCTAACAACCCAAATTTGGGTCTACTTATGTACAGGCGTGGGTGATAAATAATTCAGTTTATACATGGGCCAAGAGAGAGGACAGGTATCCTTGAGCCAGCAGAAGAAACAGGCTCAGGAGCTGTACGACCCTTCATGATGCTGCTCTCTGTTCCCTCTTTGGTCCAGCGTTCCTTCATGGAGAAAGGATGGGGTAATCTTTCTGAAAGGAAGTGAGAGCCTCTTTTATGGATGCAATAGGAGATTTCAATTTCCAGAGTAGTTAGCCAGCCTCTCTCACCACCTCTGACATGTCCCCTCTTGTGATTGTTCCCCAGCTGAGCAGCCCTACTCACGTTGATGTGTTCCTTTCCACCATGCTTTGCCCGGATCTGAGGGTTTTGGATCAGGTCTAGGTGAGTTCCCCACACTGCGATGGGTGTGTTGCCGCTAGAGAAGAAGAAGTGAAAGAAGTGCACAAACCCAGTTAATAGAGATCAGGACTAATTGCACCAGCAATGGGTGATCTATATTCCTAAATGTTGATTGCAAAGTGTCTGACCACATCTCTCAGTCCCATAGGAAGGGAAGGAAAAACAAAACAAATACTTTCATTTATAAGGGGAGAAAGAAGTAAAACCACATGCTTGCTAAAACTGTCACATCAAGCAGCATCTGGATGTTTTTCATTGTTAGGACTCAGCAATCACAAGCTTCAGGAATGAGAATAGAATCATAGAATCATAGAATCATAGAATCATAGAATGGTTTGGGTTGGAAGGAACCTTAAAGATCATCTAGTTCCAATCCCCTGGTTGGAATCTAATAGGAACTCTTCAGAATGGTCCACAGACTATATCGTCTATACCACTCAAGGAAGAGAGCCTGAAAAACCCTCATAGATAATATCCTGTGCAAGCAACTCTTGAAGATTCGGTGCTACCTTGGTTGGTGGCTGTAGTCCCATCTTGCACATCAAACCTTGTATGAAAACATCACCCTAAATAAGATTATGTCACCTTGGTGAACCCACTTCAGTGCTGCCGGGGGACCAGGTCCTGCAGCATCTAGAGGAAACAGAGCCAAAGTCTTCAGACACGGTGTGCATAAGGTGTTTGCTCTGTTTCCACTTGGTGATCCAGGCAGATAAGCTCTGCCAATGTATGTTAGATCCGATATTTGACAGATTAGATATTTTCAGTCATTGTGTCCCTTTGTTCAGGCAAGGACCGATTTCCTGAGAAGCTGATTCACACCAGACATGACCCTACATTTGGTAGGTTTCCTTGCTTTTATAGCAACTCTCTTAGCCCAGTTTAAGCTGGGGAGATGTGACAGAGCCCTTCTCATTCCCTGCAATCACTGCCACCAGAAGGAAACAGCTTTCACAAACACCCTTCTTTCCTTTCTCTTCCCTCTTCCAGCTGCAGCCAGCAGTGCTGTTTGGGGGACTTCAGGGAGTGGAGGGGAGGGAGGAAGGAAACTATAAAGAAACATTCCCAGGCTTCAGCAAGACCTGATGCATGGGTTGGCTTTGAAGACCACTTTAAGGTGAAGGGTTCACCATAGGCCATCTCAAATCAAAACAGGGTTGCTCCACCAGGGTGATCTCTCCTTTTGCAGCACTGGTGGAGGCAACATGATGCAAGGGCTGCAGGGGGAAGAGTTATCCAAGAAAGCAAAACCTTCAGCTGTCAGGGCTCACATAGTCAGGGCAGAATGAGGAAATGTCATCAACGGACAGCCCCCTCTCTGAGGGTTTCCCAGGGTGAGGAGTGCTCTCATCGATTTTGGCACCTGCCTCTATAACTCTCCTTGGAAACTGTCCAGGCTGCAATTTATTTCCTGGAGGGCTCTGCTGAGAACGGGAGGCCATGTGGAAATTGGTAGGATTGGGAAAAGAGAGCTCAGAATACCTTTCCTGCCTCCAGGTAAACCTCCACATACATGAAAGGTGGAACAAATGAATTATAAATGAGAAAACACCAGAGAATAAACACACTGTAGGGAAGAAGCCTGTATTGGCTGACAGATGTCCCCCAGTTCTGACCTTTGTTTTCCATCTTCCTCTTTTATCTTCCATTGTTAATGAGATGGGGCAGGTAGGAATGAATGCAAATATACCTTTCTGCTCAACAGTTTATCTATCAGGTTTCAGTGAGCCAGCCATGGTTGGTGGTATGGATAGGGACTATGCATGCTCGCTGGCCTCAGCACCAAGGAATAGACCCAGGTTAAGTACTTAATAGTTTAAACATAGTTTTTGTGACCAAGAAGTCTGTAAATTTGAAGTCATGAGTCATGAGCTATGCCAAAGAGCATTGTCACAACCATGCTGTCTTCCAGTACTTAAAGAGGGCTTACAGGAGAGATGGGGAGGGACTCTTTATCAGGGAGTATAGCAATAGGAAAGAAGGGAGATTTAGATTAAATATTAGGAAGAAATGTTTTCCTGTGAGGGTGGTGAGGCAGTGGCCCAGGTTGCCCAGAGAAGCTGTGGATGCCCCAGCCCTGGAGGGATTCAAGGCCAGGCTGGATGAGGCTTTGGGCAACCTGGGCTAGTGGGAGGTGTCCCTGCCCATGGCAGGGGGGGTTCAACTCCATTAATAATCTTTAAGGTCCCTTCCAACCCAAACCATTCTGTGATTCTATGATTCTAAGATATCTTTCAGCAAGTGTTCCTGTGACGCTTCTCTGAGAGGTCCCTTATGGTCTTTCATTCAAGCAATGCCTGGACAGACCGACCCATGGTTAGGACAACACTTGACCTTGAGTTTTGCAGAGTAACTCAAGTTATTGCTCTCCGAAACCATCAACTGTGATGGGAAATTTCTAATGGGAAATTTTATGGGGCAAAAGCACATTTTGCCATTTCCATAAAATCTGGTTGGATGGTTGAGCTCTCTTGAATGCACAGGGGATCTCTTCTGAAGTCACACATCCACTTACGAGAGAGCTCCCCCTTCCTACCTTACAGGACAAAATACTCTCTCCCCAAAATTCGGTTTCACATTAAGTATTCCTGATATCACCCAAGGAGACCTCGTCTGCCAGAAACCAGAAGAGAAGCGTGTAAACCAAGTTGTTTTGTCTCCACTGTCCTGGTTCTTCTGGATTGTTGGCTATGGGCCTTTATAATTTTTTTATTATTTATGATTATTATCAATCTCTGATGATTCAAACTAGAAGGGATTTTGTATCTTTACTCAGCTGAAAGTTTTATTCGTTCCAGCCACATCAAATGTGTGCGCATATGTACAGATATATGAGTATGTGCATATATTCGTGATCCTTCTATTTGATCAGCCAAGTCTGTGCACACAGTTTTAAACCCACGTGTTAAAAATTCAGTATTTGGTCTGGAAACCGAGCTTGCAGGCTCAGACCACAGTTATTAAGCACAGCCATAGCACCGGATAAGAGAAAGGCCTTTTCTCTGAAAAAAAAAATTTAAAAAACGCCAAAGCAGTTGTGTTTGCTGAAGACAGAAAATCACCCCATAACCCTCTCTGCCTTCCAAGGGCCATTTCTTACCCAGGTCAGATCAGACCCCAGAGACATGCTGCTGCCCAGCAAGATAACAGAGGTGACAAGACTATGAGCTTTCTTAGTTTAACTCTTTTTTATTCCAAAAGCTCTGAGCATAATTTTCTGTCTGCAGACTCAGATAATTGCTGGATGTAACTCAAATCAAACCCAGATCAAAAAATATTAATGAAGCCTCATAAAACTCTAGTTACCTGCCAGCCCAGTGTGACTTTTTTTTTTTTTCTTTTGGCTATGGAAGTAAATTAGCTGTAATCTTTTCTTTATTGTCTTGGAATATGGCACTTGAGAAGGTTTTAAGCCAGGCTTGGTACATTCATTCACTAATTTTGCAAAGCTGGTTTAGTAGCAATCATCTATCCCTCCAAACAGCTTAGCCCCACAGCCGGGAGTGATGAATCAGAGCAGCACAGTGGATTTGCTGTAATGAATCATACCACATAAACAATTATACTGAGGAACAGCCTCCTCAGTCTATCTCCACATCCACGTGTCTTGACTAACTTATTTCTTGCTTGATTCTTGGAAGTGGAGTTGGCTGCACTTTCATCCAGCTCCATGTGGATTTATAGTGCATAAAACTGTCCTTGGCACCCTGAACCACAGTGGTAATCCTGGATATTGCTTTCAAGGCCAGGTTGGATGGTTCAAAGCCAGGTTGGAGGTGTTCAAGGCCAGGCTGGCTGAGGCTTTGGGCAACCTGGGCTAGTGGGAGGTGTCCCTGCCCATGGCAGGGGGGTTGGAACTGGATGATCTTTAAGGTCCTTTCCAACCCAAACCATTCTGTGATTCCATGATCTTCTCTCTGTGTACCCTCCTCCAAGGTTATGCTCCTTTGGAGTGATTCAAAAGTGCAAAAGAAAGGACAAAGGGGGAGGTGGGTAGCTCTAGTTAAAATGAGGCACCTGCTGCCAGTCGTGTGGATGCTTTCTGTTTTCAGAGACATTGAAGAGAGCAAAGGGTAGAGGTTGTGCCTGAATGATGAGACAGATAGAGTCCCAGTCATCCATCCTGGAAGCCACACATCCAGCAAATAAGCTGGTACCCACTAAACAAGCATCTCTTATACAATCACAGAATGGTTTGCATTGGAAGGGACCTCAAAGATCATCCAGTTCCACCCCCTGCCATGGGCAGGGACACCTCCCACTAGCCCAGGTTGCTCAAAGCCTCATCCAGCCCGGCCTTGAACCCCTCCAGGGATGGGGCATCCACAACTTTTCATTGCCTTTATGCTTGGAGGTTGGACAGGAGGTCCAAGGCAGCAAGGAATGAGATGCAGAGCAGTGAGATGCAGAGTCTCTGCACCCCCAGGCTGGGCAAAGCTTTGCCAATACGCCTGAAGTACCTCCTTGGCTGCTTCCTCATCAGCAAAGAAACCAAGGAGCAAAGGAGCTCTAGAGAACTTCTCCTCTCACCTCGCAGCCAGACTGGAGGCCAGGCAGAGGAAGGTCCCTGTGCTGCAACTTTCCTGGAGATAATAGGGGAATTCACTCTCCTGGGCTGTCAGTCTTGCACCTTTTAACTGGCACTGAACTCGCTTTAATAAGGAAGGGAGTAAAGAGATTTCTCATTTCACTGATAACCTGAACTCTGCCTGAAAATAAAACCCCCAAAATGGAAAGTCCAGACACTAAAGCTTCAAGCCTGATGTGCAAAGATTGAATCCTGCTACATCGGTAAATTCCCTCACGGTAATTACAGGCACTAATTGATTTGTGAAAACATCTTCCGGACGGGAGCTGAACTGGGGGGATTTACAAGCCCTGCTCCTAATCCCCAGACACTCCAATCAGTCTGGTTTGACAAGGGAGCAGCGAGCTGCTGTGGATGAATGAGAGGAGACAAAGATTTCTTATTTTTGTATCATTTCAAGGACATACCAGCACATTTAATGACCAATTTCTCTCTTCCCGAGGCCATTTCTTCAGGCTTCTGAGAGCATTCGGGTGTCACTTTAATGCTTTCCACAACCAGAGCAAATGCTCCTCTCAGACACCTTCACATGAACCCTCTGATTTCACCAAAAGCACCATCAATGGGATGAAGAGAAAAAGGGAAGCCTAACGAGGAGAAAGGCTGTTTGACAGGGCAGGGACCAGGGCTCCCTTTGTGTTTCATCTCAGGAGACATCCCTGGGGCTTTCAGGGACAGCCAAACAAGCAACGCTTGGTCCTAAGCCACTAAGGACACGAAGGCTGTGGGAAAGGCAGGAATTGCTGCTTTCAAACTCAAGGGAGATTCACTTCACTAAGCACAGTTATGACATTTATACCTGGGTTTAATAGATCAGTGGCTACTCCTGCTGCCATGCAAAGCTCTGGACCCAATCCAATGGAGTCTAAAACCCAGTCATGACCAGAAACAGTAGGAATTGCAGCTTTTAGGGCTAAAGCTTAATAGTTTAACCAGCCCCTGTAGTCTGTAATATTACTCAGAGAGGGAGCATCCTGGTGCTGGAGATAAACCCCAGGCTGCAGCAACGAGGGAGGAAGCTTCAACACTAGGTTGGAGACCTGCACTTGCCTTTGGAATCAAAGCATGAGGTCTCCAAGGCAAGCTTCTGGTGAGCAATGGCAGCTGGATGTTGCTGCATTAACCCAAGTAGCTTTGCTCTGCTGGTGAAGATGGGGTGAAGGATCACAGAACGGTTTGGGTTGGAAAGGACCTTCATGATCATTGAGTTCTCCCCCTCTGCCATGGGCAGGGACACCTTCTACTAGACCACGTTTCTCAAAGCCTCATCCAGCCTGGCCTTGAACACTTCCAGGATCATTTAGACTTTGACCATGCAGGGTTTGTTTGGAGAAAGGGTGCTGCTCCTGTCCATCCCTCACTAGACTGTAGAAAATTTGTTCCAGGGCTACACATGAACACAGTTGATCATCCAAGTCACTACAATGAATGCACAATGCACTGGCGGCCTCTTAGGTCTTCTGAGGAGACAAGTCCACCAGCACTCATGGTTCTTGGGCTCTGGGAAGTAGCTCTGCACAAATCTATTTCTTGGTGAACACAATACTTGGAAAGTATTTTTCTGTATCAAGGAACAACGCGAACACACCAATGGTGCATCAGAAAACAAGGGGAGGTGGTAGGAGGTGTCCATGAGCCGCTTACCTGAAGATGCTCCACTCAGGCTCAATCCTCAGGATAGTTGGATCCTCCACGTATTCATACTGCAACTCCTGATGTATCTTGGCTTTGTCCACCCTCACAGACACCTTCACCTTCTCAAAGCCCTCATCTGAGGCTGTGGTGTTACAGACAATGTGCTTGGTGGACCTCCTGTAGGCAGAAGGTAGTAAATATAAACCAGGCGCTACCAGCAGCAAAACAGTGGTGCCCAAAAGAGCCCAGCTACTTATTCTAATGTCCTGTGACCTTAACATAGGCAGTGTGAAGTGTTGAAATGCACTGCTACAGGAATACGCTGTGAATCGTGTGACACATTTATCTGAAGAAGTGACGTTCCCTTTACACTAGTTTAAATAAAACCACAAGAGCCATCATTTCTCAGGTCTCAGAGTGAAAACTGAACCTTAAGGGAACTGCAAACCAGACCTCTCTCCAGAAGTATTTCTGGATGATTAAATACTTGATGGATGTTTCCTTCCTGCCTGCAGACATACGCAGCAGCAGCTCATAAAAAGGGGTGTTTGCACCTCAGTTTTCCAGTCTGAGATAATAAACATTACTTTGCACGAGGACCCTAAGCCTGGTTTAAGTGCAGTTTGCAGCATGCCTGGGATCTTTGCACGGAAAGTGCTAATATAGTGGGAAGCATTTTATGATTATACTCAAAAAGGATTCTGCATAAACTCGAATTATACTCAAAGAGGATTTTGCATTTTGAGCCCTTTTGGGCAGGGCTCATAACCAGCTCCAGATCTGAATTTTGCATAAAGAGACAAAAATCCAGGCTTCAAACACCCTCCATCTCCCCAGTCCTGTGATTTGTGCTGTAGCCTCATCTTATACCCCTAGAAAGGCGAAAGCAGGATGTATCCTTCCCTTGCAGCATGTAACTCACCTTCACTGACTGCACCTTCCAAATTTCCCTGAAAATTCACACTCAGTCCCCCCTAAAACTCCCCAGTCTCTTCAGTAAACATCTCCAAGCAGCTGTGGTTACCACTTGGCCTTTTAAATAACAAGCTGTGACTTCACCCTCCTGAATTATAGATGCCAAATCACACCACAGTCGTGACAGGTGGCTGAACAGGATCCCCACAGCCAGGAGAGGGAAGGGCATCACCCCAAGACAGTGGTCCCAGGTCTCCTGTGAATGAGCCCTTCTTCTACCAAGGACATGCTGGGAGAAATGTGCCAACTTCATCTCCAGCCTCCACCAATATTGGCAGTGCTGGGTGGTTTTGAGCTGCGGGAGCCCCTGGGAATGGGATTTGGGCTCATTCTCACAGGGATCAGGGAACATTCAGCAGGTAACGGTGACATTAAGCCTCTCTGAACTGCCATTGAACAGGAGCCAACCCCGAGCTGAAATGTTGTAAATCATCCGTTTCTTTGCACTACAGGACTATTCTGGGATAAAAGGGAGGTGTTTAAATACTTTGAACCCATGTTGTCAGATTTTCTTTGTCACCTCCGCTAAAGAAGGGACATGAAAATGAATCTTTTAAATGACGTACTCCCAGAGCAAGTAGCAAAGCACGGGACCGTGGAGAACTATAGTGAAATTTGACAAGGGGCCATGGAAAAAAAGCACACCAAATACCAATCAAAGCAATGACATAAATACTATTCTCCCACCCCAAAACATGAACAGTAAAGTTGCACACAGTGCAGAATCCAAAATTGCTGGATAGATGTGGCCACAGGCAAAAGAGGCACATTAGGGACAGGGTGCCTGGGCTGCAGAAGTCCCTTGGTGATAATTGCTCACATCTTTCAGACTCAGGCACTTACAGAAGGAAGGACTCATCTGTACCTGTAGAAAAGGCAGGGTTGTCGCCCAAAGGTCACGATCACATTGCTGCCAGCGTTAAGGTTGTTGCCTGTAATTGTCACCTGGGTGCCACCCGACACTGGTCCTCGCTTTGGCTTGAGATCAGAGAGCGTCAGAGTCTGTGAAGGCAAAGAGTTGTGTCGAAAACACAGCAGAGGAGCACAGCTACCTTCCCTCTCTCATTATAGTGATGGAGAGAAGCAGGTACCCCCATGGGTTAACCACATTAGCTGGACTTCAGAAGATGACCATATCTTCCAGGCAATAGAGGAGCTCCACATCTGGAGCAGCTGGAGCCACAGTCTCCCATCTCCACTGCTTGGTTGACACAGCTCAGGTGTCTTTTTTGCCATTGTTCAACACCACCTCTGCAAGATAAACCAGGTCTTGAACTGTCTGATGGGATTTTAATGGGGACTCTCCACCTCCAAACTGTGGAGCTCAAAATTGATGGAAACAATCGAGTCCTGAAAAGTTTACTCTAAACCTTACTGATCTGACAAGGGAACAGAACATGGTGTAGAGCTCCGGAGAGAAACCTAAAACCCCCCTCTGTGCTCATGGGCTTTGTCCCCGGGAAGGAGGAGAACTGTTCAGCAGAGTGTCTGAGTTCATGTCTTGCCTCTTCCACATGCTCACCATGTGAACCCAAATCTTTCTCTTTCCTTAGCAGCCTTGGATGCTGAGACAGTCTAGTACCGCACGAGCGTCCTGTGTCAATACAGCACAGCGGTGCTCATGTCGAGATGTACTGCCCAAATAAACCCTTCTCCCCTGTTTCTATCGATTTTCTAAGCCTCTTTTCCAAACATAACACAGTGCTGTGTTAATATATCAAAAAGGGGCACAATTCCTTTAGGGGCCCCAAATCTCAAACCTTTTTGTCTTACCTTCCTTCTCTCCCTTTTTCCCAAAATCAAGATAAAATACTTGCACTCTGAAAGCACAGATCATCCTGTTACCACAATGCAGAGAGGAGACATCCATTTTCAGGGAGAAATTTGGAGTTACAGTTTATTCTTTCATTTGCATTTTAATAGAAAAACTTTCCACTCAGTCCCAAGTGAAAAGCTACTATATGCATTTAAATGAAGATTATTTTTTTCCCCCCTCTCTTTAAGAATGATGACACAAACGCTTGAAGCTCTCCTCAGCTCCTCTGAACGAGCAGGTACATCACGCAGTCACCTTATTGAGCTTTGGAGACCATTAATCCGTGTTTATAAAACCACCTGACACACACCACAGCTCCCGCTTTCACGCACGCAGAGCCCTCTCCATCCCTGCAACCCTCTGGCTAAACATTTTGAAAAACAGCAGGAAGGTTTCCACTTTGGTTTTGTTCAAAATGAAGCCACCTCTTGGAGAAAGAACTGAACATGAAAATCTGACATACAGCTCAGTAGAAAAATCTGTTGGCAGAGCTGGACACTTCTTGTGTTTGAACTTGAATTGTTTTGACATGGTGGTTTGGAAACTCTTTTGCCTTAAGAAATCCCTCACCTATTAATTGTTGAAGGTTGGGAGGGTATGTAAGAATAAAAAAGAAATTAAGAAAAAAAGAAATGTTCTGCTTCTTATACTTTTCTGGGAATATTCTCTTAACAGCTATTATTGGGATAAAAGATGCAGGAAGAGCATGTAGATGCAAAAGATGCACTTTAGTATGTAGTGCTCCTCTATTTTTAGGGTACTGCCTCATGATGTGATGGCAACTCCTCTTTAACCCCTTATCGATGGCCACCCACACCAGTGCAAATTACTGCTGACCGTGACAGCTGCTGCTGGGAGGTGAGTTCCCACCTGGGAGAGAGATGGACAATTTAGTGCTGACACAAGAGCACTGCAAGAGTAGCTACTTTACAACCCAGAAAGGCACACTGAGTTCAAAACCCAGAGCCCTTCTCCTACTTCTAGATGGGTTTCCTGCCCACTCCTCCAGATGTTCATCAGAACAGGCTATGACTTGGGCTGCATCAAAAGCAGCATGACCAGCAGGTCAAAGGAGGGGATCTCCCTCTGCTCCACTCTCATGAGACCCCCCTGGGGTGCTGCCCCCAGCTCTGGGTTCCTCAGCACAGGACAGACACGGAGCTGCTGGAGCGGGGCCAGAGGAGCCACGGAGATGG